GTTTATCTTTGTCTATCCCTCTTGACATCATTAGATTATAATCTTATCTAACGATGAAGATTTATGAGATAAAATAAATCATTTTATTCTTTTGTCTCAATGCCTTATGCCCTTTCTCTCCAAGGTTTTATGTTTGTTACTAGAACTTCCGAATTAAACATTTGTTGGTCAGCAAAATGCAAGAATTGTTTTCAACAAAAATTCATTTGGCACTCTCTAAGTCATTCTATTGCTTAAGCGTATTAATGTTCGTATAATTTCAGTTCCTGAAGCGCCATTGAGGAGAGAGAAAGTTAGGAATTTTGATATTCGAATCACTGTCATATTATTGGCATCTTGGGCATCAGCCACGTTCAACAAAACTATTTAACAAGAGTCCTAACAAACAGAGTGAACAAAAAACTAATTCAAACTCACAAGGAATTTCGATCCTATGTGTTTCTCCATCTGTATCTTCGTCGATAGAGAGAAAGGGTGGGAGGAAAGAAAAAAAGGGTGAGAGGCCGTTAGAGAGAAGAAAGAAATAAAATAGTTTATTTTATTTTTCAAATATTAGATGATGTTATAATCTAACTGTATTGAAAGGGAATAGACAAAGATAAGCAAAATAAAAGTAGATAGAATAATATATCCCTTACGGGGTGTTTGGTAGGAGAAAAAAAATTGGCTAGGAAAATAGGATAGGAAAAAATACATGCCCATATTTGGTAGGAGGAAGAGTTAAAAGGGGTTTGGAAAAAAAAAAATTCGTTTAATTTTTTTACACATGAACCATCGTCTGAATTTTGCTATCGATGGGATGGAAAAAAAATTTCCTTCGTGGTGATAAATTTTTACACATAACATCTGTAAATTTCACTCAATTTTCCCGAAAACATTTTGACCTAAAAATCATATTTTTAATTTATCCAGCAAAAAATTCTTCCAACCATACTTTGAGCAAAAAAAATTTCTAGTAAAAAAAAATTTATCTGGTACCAAATCCCTGTTTACATCTACCCAAAAGTAAAAGAATGTATACTAAATTATTAGTTTCCTCCGTATCGCTTCTATGATGAATTTGCACATTTATAGTTTCAACAAATATAATTTTTTTTCATTTATTTTTTTAAAAATTTTCGACGAAATTTAAATTTTGTCAAAAAATTCACAAATATAAAAAAAAAATTTATTTATTTTTTTCAAAAATTTTCTACGGAATTCGTTTTCGTCGAAATTTTTTGATGGAATCTGATTTCTGTCAAAAACTTTATGACGGAAAGCGAAGAAAAACAGGTTGCGTGGATAATTATGTGAGTAATTTCAACGAAATTTTTTTCGGCAAAAAATTTCGTCAATAATAAAGACTTTTCTAGTAGTGTGTATATATACCCCATAACACTCATAATTTGATAATAACTGTATTTGTAAATGCATGCTATCTAACTTGTCTGCAAATTGCAACGTACATTTTAAGAACTAAGAAATAAACTCCTAATAAATTACGGCTATTAGGAATCAAACTTCTAGGTGTTCTAAAATCTCGCTAGTTGTTTATCTTTTGACAGCAAAGTAAGCATTGCCATGTGTCCAAATATGAGTGTTTGTATTTGTAGAATGTGTGGCGAGATTAATTAATTAGTGTACTTCGGAACCTAAGATATACATAATATTATCCGAAAAGAGAAAGAAGAAAGATAAAGATGTATAGAAATCGTCACTCCAAGCTGTACCATTGCATCTTTGCATCACAGTGTAAATGCTCGCCATGATTGTCGGAAGGCTTAAGAATCGTTTCATTAATAAATTGATATCCATTTGTTTAATTTAAAGTGATAGAAATAATTATAAAACACGATTAAGAAAATAAAACAAATAAAGAAAATTGGGGGAAACCACAGCCGGCGGAAAGAGAAACACCGACAGACATTGAAGGCTCACATGCCTGTACATAATCAACTTAGGAGTTAGGAATATGACATTTCGTGCTAATTGTGGATTATATAAAAAGAAGTATTTCTTTCAATCATATGTATGACGGTATGGGAAATTAAATTATGAAATGTATGAATTAATATACAAGTGTCGGCTATCCCACTTAATAAAGTTTATTACAACGTAAAGCCTTTGAACCAAATTGTCTTTTCCCTCGTTTTCCTTCTCAGACAGTAAATGTGAGACAAAATATTTACAACTCAATATTTAAATAATTTCATAGATGAACAATTTTTAATCAAATGATAATAGTTCAGTTGGCATTAGAGAGTTGAATAGATAAAAGGTAAAAGTATGTGTTCGGTCCTTCTCAATATCATTTTTGATAAGAGTTTAAAGTCTTAATCCCGAGACCCGTTCCGAATCGGACTAATCGCGAAGCGATAAACTGATTGGAATATCTAAAAAAAATATACAACATTTAATTGGTGGGGAGAAGTTTAAAAAGCATTGATAAATTCAATTAATAGAAACAATATTATAGCGAAATTACTAGTTCACTAATATTTGAGTAACCTTGTTATATATGAGAGCATACAGAATGAAGAAATGTAAATATATTTCCTGAAGCAAGTCTCTACATTTTTATTGAATAGGTATGTATGAGAACAACACCTAGGGGAATGCATATATTGTTCATGTCTGTGCGGTGTGTACGAGTGAGAGAATATTGAGGACCATGTATGTTGAGGCATAAGGCATGACAAAGAGTAAAGAGCACAGAGAGCATGATTTAAGAACCCGATAAAAAAAATAAAAATAAAATCCCGCGTATGGCGGCACAGCTCAAAAGATCCATCGAGGGAAAGTGGTGCACCACGTGATATATCCTCCTTGCCACCAACGTCTTCTGTTCTTCTTCTCTCTCTTCATCTTATTTATTTATTTTTTCTCTATGGATTAAAAAAAAACAAGAAAAAAGTAAATTTATTTTTGAATTAAAAAAATGACAGAGTTTAGTTAAGACTAATTTACTCAGATAAGATTGCTAGGGATCTGTGCACTAATCATCAGATCTATATTTATCCCTTTCTTAATTTCATTTTAAAGACGTCAACTGCGTACTGTTCCCATGTCAGCGCTCCAGTTACTCTTGCCCCTCACGTGACTTTTTTTCCCATTAAAATATTAAATAATATGAATAGGTTTTAGTAAAAAACTTAAAAATGTATTTTTATAATATCACAACTCACAAGTAATGTTTTATAAAAAAATTAAAAATGTTTTATTCTCAGTTAAGATGAAAGAGGGGAAAAAGCATTTTTATTTGAGAATGTAAAATATAAATACATAGTAATATCCGAACAAAATTTCATTTAAATTAACGACTATTTAAGTTTTAAATTCTATTAGTAAACAATAGACTAATTATAAAGTTTTTACATTCAAATAACTTTCCATACTAATCAAATTAGTACTTTTTTATCTTTTTATAATCAAATTTTTAAGTAAATATTTAGATATTATAAAAAATAATTTTTTTAATTTGATATCCAAAGACAACAAATTCGTATATATCATGTAAATTAATTTTAAATTTCTGTAATTTAAATTTCGCATTCTGAAATTAGACTGCATTAAGATGAGCTATATATAGATGTGGCACCTCATTAACCTAAGATTAGGTCAAATCAGCGCCCTCATCAAATCTCAATCTTATTGGATAATTTCTTTAATTTTATCCAATCAATCCAACTAATTAATTAAATCAATTTCAGCCAATTAATTTAATTAATTAGTTTCCTTAATTTTATCCTATTAATCCAATTGATTTGTTTCCCAATTTCATCCTATTAATTTAATTAATTGGTTTCCTTAATTTTGGTCAATCAATCCAAATGATTTGTTTCTATCAATATAATTGATTGGTTTCCTTAATTTTCTCCATCTTCAATAAATCAAATTTAATGATTATATTTAAATTCAAAATTAGAATTCAAATTAATTTAACATTTAAATTAATTAGTTTACATCATGGATCAAGTTCAACTTGACCCATGATGTCACCTACTCTCTCTTGGTCCAATATGTGGGCTTTTCCAACTTAGACCCATTATGTCTTATTGTGCCCTAACCACATATGCTAGAATTCAACGGAATTTCCGTCGAAAAGTCCACAAATTCTAATTTCTTTTATTTTTTTCAAAAGGTTTCGACGGAATTCCTTTTCCGTCGAAAATCTGCCACGGAATCAAAATTCCGTCGAAAAATCCACAAAATATAATTTCTTTTTCTTTTATTTTTTTTCAAAAGTTTTCGACGGAATTTCTTTTCCGTCGAAAATCTGTCACGGAAAAGGAATTCCGTCGAAATTTTAGACGGAAAACAGATTCCGTGAAAATTTCCATAAATAATTTCAACGGAATTTTTTTCCGTCGAAAAATTCCGTCGATAATAAAAACTTTTCTAGTAGTGCTAGACTTTACAATAAATATGTGAGATTTATTGACATTAAATCTTGTATGATCAACATTCCATGCTCACAATAAATCCAGCTTTTTTAACATGCAAGTTTTACCCTATATCATCAATGTAAGAGATTAATTGTATTAGTTTAGGATTTAAAAATATAAAAAATTAAATAGACAATTTGTTATATCAAAAACATTTGCTTAGTAAAAAAACCGTATTTTATTGGCTCAAGAAAATCCAGGACACCAATTTTTTTGACTGACAGCACTGGACACAATTAATTAATTAGAACTAGGGTTGCACGAATAAAAATGTGTAGGGATTGCTGAAACATTAAAAAAAAAAAAAAAATCAAGTTTTCAGCACTACGTCACCTCTCCTGGCCCATATAACCGTGTATTCAAGTAAACGGCGAACGGAATAAAATAGTTTGTTATGGTCTATGGATTTAACATCGTTACCCGCCGCAACGTCGTTTGTAAACGGAGTTTCGGACTTGACGGAGGTAAAACAAGAAAAAGAAGATAAAAATGGATGGCGAAAACACAGAACGCAGGCAACTATATAAAAACATCTTTGTGTCTAAAATATCAATTCTAAACACAACAGAGACAATAGAAAGAGCAAATTTCCGACCCGAGACCTGATCTTTCGCCACAGTGCTCGTTTTCAGTGCAACAAAGGAATCGACAGAGAAAGTAAGTTTTGTGTTAAACTCTCTCCGATTCTTCTGCAGTTCCATTTTGCTGCGGACTCCACTTTCGGTACTGTTCCAATTCATGCTTTGCTTCAAGTGACGCTTCTCACAGTCCTTGTTCAACTCCACGGTTGGTCATCGATATGGTAATTCTTGTAATTGCATGTTTCTTAATGGAATACGCACTTTTATCTTGTCCGTTTGGATCTTTTCTTTTCTCTAGCTATTTGTGTTGTTTACGTTGCTGATTCGAGATTTCAGTCGTTTTTCAAGCTGAATTATGGTAGTGCGAATTTTCTTTTGTTCTGTCTAATCGGAACAGAAAACGCTTTAAATTTTGGAAGTTGAATTACGATTAATTATGTGTAATATCGTGTTTCAGATTTTGTCAAATCTCTGATTGGATGCTCTGTAGCCAAACTGTTTTGTCCAATGACTTTAATGGAAATCAATCACGCAATTAGTTTCCTTTGATATAAACTTGTGATTGAGAGTGGTTATGTGAATAATTATTCGTAGACGAAATTGAAGGAATGCGTCTCCGATCTTAGAGAGATTAAGAAACAAGAGAAATTAAATACAGTTTCTATTCAATTCGGATCTGAGAATTTTCTATCCGCGAGATACTGATCGAAGCTGCAAGTTCTCAATCCCTGCGTTGGCTTCCGAATTCGAAGGGAATTCGGACTTACAACACAGTAACGGAATTGAATTCCATGAGATTTTAGCTTCGGCAAGACCGAAATTCAAAAATTCGTTGAATCACCGGGAAAGAAAAGGAAATATTCTAGTTTTAATGGAGCTTCCTGAAGCGCGTTCTTTTGGAACCGAAGGTAGTTCCCGATTGTAACTGATTTTTTTTTTTTTAATAATTAATTTCTCTTTGATTTGTTGGTATATGAGATTTTGTAATTTTTTTCTGCGGAACGCGAGCAGGAAGAAAACCGACGCATGACTTTCTGTCACTCTACAGTAATTCAACTGCCCAACAAGAGCCAAGGCCACCTTCTCAAGGTATTCTTCCGCTTTTTGATTTTTGGAAATTATGCAAAATGAATCACTGTGTTTTTTTTTTTCCTTTTTCTTTTCTTTCTTCTGTTTTTTCCATGTTTTTCTCTGACGTGGGATCATGATGTAAATATCGTATAAATTCTACATCACGGTCAATTTTTTCAAAATAATTCAATTCTGAAAGTAGTTATACATCATGGTTGTTCGTGCACGTGACTGCTATTTAATCAAGGGATCTGGGCCATGAATCTCACGGAATACGTATTTATTATTTAACAAAATTTCCTATGGTGTTTTCCGAAGGCTTTCATGACAAATGGAAAAGTGTCAATCACGAGGTATTTAACACCGTTTGATAAAGGGGGGAGGTGGGGCATGGGACCCAAATTGGAATCGGACCTGCAGATGATTTGACGTTTCAAATCAGGCCTTGATTTTGATAAGGAGGGAATTGCGTTCCCGTGTAGGTGTAGTTTTCCTTTTCTTTTCATTTGTGAAGATACTCTCACTCCCAACTCACAGACGTTTAATAATGAAAATGAAATGAAAGACTTTGAATTCATTTTTGCACTTTCTTTAGGCGCTATATTTTTTTTTCACACTCTTTTATCTCAAAGCGAAAGGTTTGTCTCCTTGGCTGAAATGTATGTTTTGGTTTTGGAATATCCCGGTGGTAGCTTGCACTGTCTTTGGGACGTCAGGTTCTGATTGCTCTCATTCCTGTCCCCTTTGTAACTCTTTTCTCTCTTCTTCTTTCTTCTTCTTTAAATCTAGGCTCATGAGCCATTAATAGATAAAAAGTACTTTTAGTTCATGAATGCAGCTAAAATCTTCATTACGGGGTTACGTACCATGTTGCATTTCAAAAACGTTAAAACAATATAATGCAATCATTGCAATGGACTAAAAAAAAAACAATATAATGCATCGTGTTAGGTGTTATTAGTTCTTTCAAGGTGAAGACTTTTGTGTTTTAGGGCTAAACTATCATATAAAGGCAATTTTATATTTTTATTATATTATTTTTTTTTTTGCGGTAAAATTAACTTATGTTTTATTTTCAGAGACAGTTATTATTTTGTGTTGATACATTTTTATCTCTATATAAAAATCAAATGATTTTCACCAAAAAAAATAAAATCAAATGATTAACATACTTAAAAATTTATCAGCATATTGTTAATTTTGCATCAGAGCTAGAACTAGAAGTAATGAAATAAAAAGTGATGCAGTAATATTATTTCATCTTCTATGCCTTTGTAATATTTCTTTATAAACTCAACGCTAATATATTAGTTATCACCTCACTGTGTTCAGTTATTGGTAGTTGGTTTGAGCTCTACTCCTTGTCTAAATAACCGTAACAGGAGAATTTAGCTATGGTCTTGTGCTTCATGCAACATAGCTAGCTAGAAATGAAAACGATGTACCAGCTTTCCTCAAAATCCTCTCCAAGCTTAGCTCTTTGTCTCTTGCATTCGCTTTGTGTGTGTCTTTGTTTTAAAATTGATTTTGATTGCATGAATGAGTTAGCTTTTTTTTCCCTTGACCTGAACAGCATCTTGTTGCCTTCTCCATGTGTGAACAGGAAGCTACCTCAAGACCCATGATTTCTTGCAGCCACTAGAACGGGTAGAAACCGAAGCCAATGCCAAGGAAGAAGTTACAGATGAAATAGCATCGGTGGTTTCAGTACTACCACCCCCAGCACCACCACCTTCAGTTGAGCACCTCTTACCTGGAGGAATTGGAACTTACAGTATTAGCCACATTTCCTATTTTAATGATAATCAAAGGGTTCACAAGCCAGAGGCATCCCTTTTCACTGGGCGTCAAGCAACTAGTACAGATAGAAATGATGACAACTCCAACTGCAGTTCATATACTTCAAGTGGTTTCACTTTGTGGGAAGAATCTGCGGCTAAGAAGGGAAAGACAGGAAAGGAGAATAATGCGGGCGAGAAACCCAATATTGGTAAACCACAAAATTTCTCTCTCTTTTATGCGTATTCTTTGCATTTTAGCGCTAGTTTGGCGCATTTTTTTTGGGTTTTATATAAGGGAAACGATGAGGACACCAAAAAGTTTATCACATTTACAACTAATTTAATCATCGTTGATTTTCGTCAATCTAACAGTTATAATTTATTGAGAATAATAATTAATTAATAAATGTGACTCAATAATTTTCAATAAATTATAATCGTTAGATTGACAGAAATCAATGATGATTAAGTTAGTTGTAAAGGTTGTAAATTTTTTTAATAGTAAGTATATACTTCCCCAAGGAAAATATAGCTCTCAATCTCTCACACTGCATACTACAGGCAATATATATTTATAATTTTAAAATCTGTGCTTTTTTTTTCTTTTTGTCAAAAACTGTCAATTGATATGGAGGAGAGAAAAAAATCAATTTTAATATTATAATTATTTATTATTAATAATATATAGTGTTAATTCGTTGTAGGATGAGAAGCTGAGACCCTTTATATAATTACTATTTACATTTGCAAAACCTTAACCTGAAATATATATACGTCAAAACAAGCCTTAACCTGAAATATATATACGTCACAACAAGGATCAGACAACCACCTTTCTTTCTTGTTACCCAAGAAATTCCTATGTACTCTGCGTCTTAATAGTTGGAATTGTATTTAAATTTTATCATGCACTTATTAATTTAATTCAATGACATGTTTGTAATGTGTTGTCTTTTTATTGAATTAGTATTATCCTCTTAATATATATATATATATATATATATATATATATATATAGGGACATGATTCGTTTACAAATTTTTTTTGCAATTACACTATAATGTAGGACTGGTCATACAGTGTGTGATTAATGTATGACCGTTTCTACATAATGTAGTTTGTAAGAGTTTGTAAACAAAAAAAGTTTGTAAATATAACCTGTCCCATATATATATATATATATATATATATATATATATATTATTTTACGTGAACGGATATTACAACTTTCATGTGTAAGTTTGGCGGAGAAATTTTTCTGTCTTCATAAAAATACTAGAAGATGGGGAAAGTATTCATCCAGTTAAAGTATAATATCGACCGATTACTTTACTCCCACCTTCTTTATATATAATAGAAGATGGGGAAAGTATTCATTCAGTTAAAGTATAATATCGACCGATTATTTACTCCCACCTTCTTTATATATAATAGACAGGCCTTGGTAGTATGCTGGAGTAGTTAGCCAAGTTCATTGTTTGTACAGTATTCAGCAAAAAAAAAAAAAAAAAAGTAGCAGTAATAATGATATAAAATATCAGTTGCATAGAATCTGCCGAGGTAATAGCGTTTGGCCCCGCTTTATTCAATGACAGAGTCTGCGGCAAAGCTAGGACAGTGGACGTTGCCAGAGCGAACGTCACAGTCGTTTTCTAACAATCGTCAGAGCAGCTTCAAGTCTCGCTCTTCATCACAGTTAGTCATATTGTCTCCCTGCCTCTTGCTCAATGTTTTTGCGTCTATTACTTTCATTTTTTAAATTTCACTCTTCGGAAATAGTTGCTTTTTAAGGTGGGTTATTTTCATGCTTATGCTGGATTTCTGAAATTGATTCAACAGGACAACCGGGCAGAAGAACCAGAGTTTTACGGAAATGATGAAGTCTGCAAAGGATTGTGCCCAGGATGAAGAGCTAGAAAACGAAGAAACATTTTTTCTTAAGAAAGAATCCTCGAATGCCGAAAGAGGTAAGTTTTAATGTTTTGAGCTGCAGCATGCCGTTGCCGTTAATTATATGTAAAATATTTTGAGCTGGCTCGCTTAATGTTTATGTTAAATTTCTCCTTTTCGCTAATCTAAGTAATTTAGTGCTTTTGAGTTGTTTTGATTTGATAGTTTGCCTATGTGCTATTATTTTTTTTTTTAAAAGTAGATGCATGTCATCAAGTTCTTACTTTTTTTTGTTACTTGGATAACAAGTCCACAAAATTTGTTTCTTCTTCTTTGGACTACAAAAGGCCGCTTGGCTATATTTTTGTAGTAACATTTTTGGACTAATTTGAAAAGTTTGCATAGAATTCTCAATCCAAAACTAATTGAATTTTGAGATGCTTTTCGGTGAATCTGTGTGACAACTATATTTTTCTCTTCTCCCAATGTTTTTTTTTTTTTTTTTTTTTTTTGTCATTTAACGATTTTTCTTCCTGTCTTTGCCGTTAGTAGTGTATCTTAATTTTAATAAGGGTGCAAGAAGGGAATTTCGAGTGCCATAACCACTTTTTATTCTCTATCTACTTAATTTGGTTTGGGCGGGGGAAATACCTACAAAGGGGCTTTGACATTGGTGATTATTTTCTCTCAAGCTCACTTATTTGAAATTTACGGACGAGGTTAACATAAGTGATTATTTACCGCAGAACTGCGGGTGAGAGTGGATGGGAAGAGTACTGATCAAAAGCCAAACACTCCAAGATCAAAACATTCTGCTACAGAACAGCGGAGAAGGAGCAAAATAAATGACAGGCAAGTATTACCTACCATGCTGATGGAAGTTTTTCAGGATTATAGAAGAGGCAGTCGCAAGTTGCAAAGCACGCGCAAAAAGAACTTTCCTTTTTTTAATTATAAACTGACTGAAATAACTTAAAGAAAAGTTCCTTACAATCAGGTCCTAACGGTTAACTTCTAATGACAATTTCTGTCATTCTTTCTAGTTATAGTAAAAGCTGTACCAAAAAAGAAACATTGGGCTTTTAAAAAAGTATTCCTATTAGATTTATGGTTGATCAGTTAGTCCCTGTCAGCCACCCTCTTACCCATCAACAACAAATAGATCATTTTGTCTTCTTGTAAGTTCCGTGTCTGTCAAAGTAGTATTTTCATATTTTGATAGATATTAAAGCAGTTACAAGTTACAACTTACAAGGCATCTTATGCATCATTGTTTCCTCATTCTTATTTGGGTGGACTGAGTTGATAGATCATCAATCAGGGTCGGCACTATTGCTTATAATCATCTGATAGAATATTTGAATTAATCATGCAGATTCCAGATGTTACGAGAGCTTATTCCACACAGTGACCAAAAGAGGGACAAAGCATCTTTTTTGTTAGAGGTACATTCATATGAGATGATATGAATTTTCTTATTTGTTTTATTGCTCATTAATTCTTAATCTGAATTATTTGTAGGTCATTGAGTATATTCACTTTTTACAAGAGAAGGTGCATAAGTACGAAGGTTCATTCCCAGGGTGGAATAACGTGCCAGAAAAATTGACGCCAATGGTAAATACCAAACATACCTGTCTTATTTTCGTGTTGGAATAGACTCAGCAAGGCAGAAGCTTGTCTATTGTTCAAGTGGATACATTCATTATTATCATATAGCCTAGTGTAAATGGATTTGAATTCAGAAGTAACCACAACTATTTGTGGCCTCTTTATCCAAAAACTGATTTTCAATTTTTTATTCAAAGCAGAGAGATAACGACAGGCCAGCAGAAAGTTTTGAACCTCGTGGCACAAATAGTGGGTCAGGTCCATCTCCAACATTGCTGTTTTCTTCAAAGATTGACGGGAATAATATCACCATCTCCCCATCAACTCCTGGTAGTACCCAGAATGTAGAATCTGGCTTGAGCACAACGACTACCTTCAAGACAATGGATCCTCACTCTGGAATAATGAATAAGGCTTTTCCAATTCCTATTTCTTCACAACCAAATTTCTTCAGTCCAACTCAAATCGGAGCTCAAGGCGGAGTAGTGTCTCAGCTCACACATAGATTGGCATCTGATGCACAGAACACCATATATCAACCTTCAGTGGAGTGTCAGACTATGACTGCTACCAGTGAAAAGCTGAAAGAGAAAGAGCTCACTATTGAAGGTGGTGCTATTAGCATATCAAGTGTGTACTCAAAAGGGTGAGAATTTATATTGTATTTATTTGATTAGTGTGTATGGTAAAAAAAACAGTTTTATTTCCTTTAGACTATATTTACATTGTCTTGGACATAAAATATGGGTTCATCCCCTAGTGATCATTCATGATTTAGTGAAAGGGATATGGCAGGTTGTTGTGGAGACAAGTTCTTTAATCACCTAATAATGTCATAGCATACTTAGATCCGGCTATGAGGGTTAAGAAATGATTTGCCATTGGATAGTGTTATGCGACCTAAATTTGGACTTAGTTCACTTCCTTTCTCTGACTAGATTTGCAATTCTTGATGCTGTATACTAAGGGAAGAAGTCCATAATTTCAATTCGCAGCTTTAAACTCTTAATTCATTGTTATCTCTTTTGTGGAATACCTATTGTCTTCCGTTAACATGGTTTGTAGTGCTGCTCTGTTCCATTCAAACAATTTTTATTTTTTTTGGAAACAATTCAAACAAATAATCTAGAATATTAGATATTAGTCCAAATTTTTGCACAATATTTGGATTGACCAAGCTAATCATGGAAAACTTATTATGTCAACATCAACACCATTTTTATCCCAAATTAGTTGGATCAGTGAATTAAGTATGTGAAGTTATAAATTTCATGTTTGTGATCTTAGAGAACTAGCGCACCGTCTTCTCTCAAATGCTTGCAAATGATACATGTTGTGATTAGGATGGCAATATTGATCGCTGGGAGCATTTTGATTTTAATATATTAAAGAAACTTTATTGTACTTGGACAGGTTGTTGGATACACTTACACAAGCACTGCAGAGTTCGGGAGTGGATTTGTCACAGGCTAGCATCTCAGTGCAAATTGAACTTGGTAAGCAAGCTAACATCAGACCAACTGTGCCAGTGTCAATTGGAGGTGCTAAGGTATGTTAACACTCTAATTGCCCTTTTCCCAGGTTTTTCTTATGAACATAACTTGATACTAGCATTCAATTAAAGTTCCATGTAGTAGAACCGCGTACTATTATCTAATTTGTTAATCATTTTCCCCTAGGATAATGAAGTTCCTTCTAAAAATCAAAGAATGATGCGTTCTAGAGTCGCTAGCGCTGAGAAGTCTGATCAAGCAGTCAAGAAGCTAAAGACATGCAGAAGCTAATTCGACCGTTATATCCATTCTTTCCTTATTACGATTTTTATTAATTATTTGGGGTAACTTTTTTAAAATTAATTTTTGGAAGGGGTATTTATATCTTCTGCTGGCTTATTATCCAGCAAGGGTGATATCTTCTGTACATGTAGTGTATTCTTAGTTTGTTGGCGATCCTTAGGCTCCCCACAACAAAATAATATGCATTATTTTAGAATCTACATTATATAATTATAGAGGCTTCCATACTAATTGAGAAGCTGTGTTTTAATCAAGGCTTCGATTCATGTAAAGTTTGAAACTTTGGTCCTTTATTTGCTGCATATTTTTTAACATTGGTTTTGGTGGTCTAATGTATTGTTTTGAGATAGAATAAAGAAGGGTTTTATAAGAGTTATATTGTAGGAAAAGTGACTCTATAATGTTATAGAGATTCGTTTTACGTGCCGTAGTTTTTTTTTTTTTTTCTTCAAAAAGTGTAGGCCTCACAAAATGTTGTGTGTGTATGTAGAAAACTTTGTTGTGTCATGTTAAATGACAAATACAAACCCCAATAAAAAAACCTACTCTACCTTTTTACTTTCATTTTTTTTTTTTTTTGTGTAAATAATAACTGAGAAGCGGTGGGAAACAAGTTGTATTTTCATGAAGGCAAAAGTTAAATCAGAGAAAGATAATTATTAAGAGGATTTCTTAGTCACAATCATGATAGACTCTAGCAAAGTGTTTGGTAGAGGAGAAATTTTTTTTTATCTGGGAATCTCAATTTTCAAAAATATGATTTTTACATTTAGTTTATGATAATATCCGAAAATTTAAAATTTAGAAATGTTCAGTTTTTCGAGAATCATGTAAAAACCCTCGTACCAAACGCCCCCTAGAAGTTAGTCTCGTAGACGAGAAGTTATTCTATGGGCCAGGCCCATAAAATGTATAAATGCTCCCTCTCACGTGTAAAGGGCAAAACAGAAAAATAAAAAGAAAAACAGGGACAAAATGGTCAAAAGAAAAAATTGATTGTGAGCGGGACCAGGGAAAGATTTCATGGACCCAGATCATATTAATTTTTTCCTCGTAGACACTAGCAATATCTGTAGGATATCTTAGTAGAAAATCAAAAAGAATATTTGCATAATAAGATAGGATATGAAGGTCATTAATATTAACCTTAAGTGTAGCTCAACCGGCAAAGTTGAGCGAGGATTGCTTGGTCCAGGTTCAATCTTTGATTCAAGCAATTTTAAAATTCTTTGGAGGCCAAAGGGAAAAGAATCTTCTTCAATGGAGGATTAGTGTCATCCTTTCTTTGGTGGCATAGCCTAATGTATTCGTTGTTTCAATAAGGAGGTAGTCTTTAAGGCCGTACTTTGAGAACAAGATGGCCATATGAGGTTGAATGGGATTAATATTTGCACCCAAAAAAAAAATGTCATTAATATTTGTATACTATGTACATCTTTAAAAATAATATCATTATAAATAAATTTTTTATTTGAAAAAAAGACACTACTACTTTTTAATTTAAATTAAACGTGGTGTCAGTAATGGTGATATAGTTGCATAGAGAAAACTATAAAAGAGTGTTTTACAAGCCTCCTCATAGTGTTCATAAAATTTATGAAAATGAATTCCGTCGGTGAGATTATTACCAAATTGAACTCTGACTGAATACAGTGATCAGGTTTAAGGTCTTTTGATATGGTTTGAATTTAAACCGATGCATTTCTTTTTTTTCTTTTTTTGTCATTTTCTATAGCCCCTGCACATATTCATTGAAATTCTCGCTACTCGTTTATATTCACTATGCATGGAAGAAAGGCTTGCTTATGACTTCAGCAGGAACAAAACTTTAGTGCACGGGAATATCCAATGAGAACCTTTTATAAGAGTTTAAATTTCTTTTTACAATATGAAAAAAAAGGAAAGTGTCACATATATACCATCTCTGTTAATTAATCAACTAAAAAAAAAAAACTCAAAATCAATAAATCATATTAGCTCGGCGGCACTTCTTGTTAGTTAGCACTCAATAGTCCAAATCCAAGAGTTAAAATGTCACGAAATCATCACTAAAAACAAAAGAACTTCATGTAGTTTCTACTAATAGTAATGTGAAATTTAAGAAAGGGTACCATCACCGTCGGTATATAAGTCATACCGCGGCCACGTTGGTAACAAAGATTGTTGCTTTCTTGCCTTGCATTGCAGATTATGATTTGGATCTCAGCAACAATCAATTGCTTTAAGCTCAAGCATTCGATACAACAACTCATTGTCTTATTTATTTAATTAAGCATTTGCTTGATAATAGCACCTTTTGAAATGGTGTTAATTGAGAAGAACGTTGTGGCGGATCTTTAAGTGGTGCGGAAGCAACACCCTTTTAAGTTAAAATATAACCTTGTGTCTTCAACGTTATTTAATATTTGCAGCTTATGAAATCCCCATATGTTACTACTAAGTGTTTAGATAATGGATAACCGGACCCTTTCTCTTAGTTAAGATTTCTTGGATCATTCAATCTATATTAAAATAGAACTGAACAAGTTCATGAGAATTTTCTTAGGATCTAATTCAAATTCAATTTCCCAATGATCTTGATTTCTCCAACCGCTTATTGAAAGGCTTATTTTCTTTTGTGGAAGAAGACTCCGTAATTTCAGCACACACATTATACAAATAACTTTAGATGCTTAGTTGATTGCTTTAAATTAGCAACCATAATGCAGTATTTCCGATCTGCTTTGATATCATGTCTGTTAGTATGGTTTCAACCATAACTTAGATGCACGTTCATCAATGAATAGATATAATCAATACCCACAAGACCCCAATCCCGAGTCAATATTTTTGCTCATTCGTGGCTTTCATTGGAATAATTAGCAACCGAATCTTTTAAACTATGTGATAAATTAAGTCTGATTATTTATTGGGCCCACACTTGGTCCCCATCATCATCTTTATTGTTAAAGTTTCCATCTCTGATGTAGGATGAAGGTTATAAATTTTTTAATTTATTTATTATCAAATTTAAGAGTAAACATAGTTAAGTCCTAAAAAATACAAGTGTTGCCACTTTTATATTCTAAAAGAATCTTATTTTTTTTTTCGGTTATATTGTTTTGTTTAGTACTTCAGTCATGAAAAACGACGTTAAACTCGCCATTTTATGTGCAAAGTCTAAAAGATTCTCTCAATAATTGTGTTGATCTTCCTCGCTTATTATCATGCCTAACTCTTGTTTGCGTGCCATTTTTTATGATCAAATAACTAAATTTCATTTTTTTCTTTTTTCTTTTTGAAGAACCAAATAATATCACTTCTTATTGGTGATAAACTAAATTGATGTAAATTTTGTTGAAAATAACAAAACAGTAAAGGTGTTTACTCTAAATTTAAAGATATTAAAAAAATATTAGTTTAAATTATTCTAAATGAATAATTAATTTAATTAATGCATGATCAAAAAATAATCTCTTAATATTAAAAATAAGGGGAAATTAAATTAGTCTCGAACTTCTTCTTTTTTCTGTGATTAAGTGCATCGATTGGCATATGAATACGATGTATACAGTTGCCAAAGGTGTAGAGTGCACTGCGTTTGAGTTCTTTACCGCATTATGGCTTCAAATGACAGTGGTCACGGGCACATTTGGTATGCCCTAAGTAATTTTTTTGTAATGAACAGATTATTAGGATGCATGATAAGTTTTTGGTACATTGGATAAGAAAGAAAAAGAGGAAACTAACTCCTAACAAAACCCCCCAATATATAAGCAAACAAAAATTGCTGGAGACGACGGGGAGGAAGCAACCAAAACTCAAGAGAATCTTCATGCTTAGCAAGATGTCATGCATGATTATGCTATATAAAAGTACACGAATTTGGATCTTCTCATGTTTAAAAATGATGTTGTTTGATCAAAATTATTCATTGATGACATAAAAAAAATATATAATTTTTAAATAAATGATTGTAATCAAATAATATGAACATATAACTATTTTTAAATATGAAAGGATTTTGAAACACCAGAATCTCGTTCATTTCGATTCAATACAACCGCCACTTGGCAAGATATCAAAAGGTACGGTCACAGAACAACATATTCCTCTAACGACAACATAAATAATTCATCATTAATTGCGGTATAATGGAATAAACCAAGAATCACAGGGGACCACTTTTGACTAGTGGCTTTATTTTTATTTTATTGTTTCTGGGTACAATTGACTAATGGCTTTTACCTGTTAAGTGTGTTAACCCAAAGGATGAAAGTATACTTTAACTCCAGCTTACCAAATTATAAGCTTATAAAAGCACAACACTAACTTGATAGAGAGTTAAAAGCGAACAAGAGTTACCTTCTGACGTGTATTATTCTGTCATGAAACTATTTTAGGGTTCATAGATAAGTCGGCATTTAGCAATTAAGAATTAATTAGAAATGACACTCATTGTCAATATAAATATAAATGAGACAAGAGAATACAAAAGATCATCCGACCTAGCATTCCCTGAACAAACAAAAAAAGAATATGAAATTATGAGAAAATAATACACGAACAAACAAATTTTATAGTGTATAATCCCGAAAATCACAATGATGGCGGTGGACAAAAAGAAAGGAGGCAAAAGAGAAAAGAAAAAGTATATATTTATATCTAAAAAAAGGGGGGGGCAAATACCAATGAATTAAGCTTCCAAGAACTGCAGTTCCAGTAATCCAAATTTCTATGACTTCCTCCGTGTACAAGGCTGTTTGAACTGCTCTCACCCTGTAATGGCAGGGTAGCTTCTATACATGAATGTGATGGATTATTTGCATACATAAAATATTAAGTATCCCTCGGCTGCTTTGCTTGACTAGAGCTTTCGTTAAAGGCTATCCCACCCCCATCCTCTTTTCTTTATGGGTCACCATAACTGCCTCTTCGACACAATAAAGCTATCGTCTTTGCTAAAACTGCGTGGAGAACTATCTCAGTATCTGTGGTAGAAAACCAAGGGCACCAGGAGATGGCACAAGTAAAATCCCACTATTTTCCAGACACATTACTCATGCACTACTCAACGGATCATCTGATGGTTCTAAACACTCCTGTGGGTTCGCATAGAAATAATCCTCTTCTTTGGGCTTATCAAGGATTACCAATCTTTTAGTTGGACTACCCATGCGATCGGCATGAGCTTCCTTCACAGCTGAAGAGAATTCATCCCAGTTCAGTACTCCATTATTGTACTGATCTATCAAATCAACTAGGAGCTTTCTGCTCAATAAAATTGTCTTCTTGAACCCAAGATATCTGCACAAGCATTGAAGGGTACAGAGTCAGTTCACTTGGCACAGAAGTACTCACAACAGCAAGTATCAGAACCCAATAAAAAAATTATAGTTGAAACTTTAAACTATGCCAGAAGCTGCCGATTGTATCATCTGTCATCAGCAAAAGCAGAAAGTTGATCTCTCAGATGTGGATACAAAAATTGTTTCAGTACGAAGAAAAGTGGTTTTAGTATTTTAACTGAACACACACACACACCCATGCATATTCCCAAATATATATATATGTAAAAACTAGTTCATTATAGTTATTGGTAGAAACAAAATTTAAAATTTGCTTACCCGAGAAGGAGGGGGAAGAGAAAGTAGTTTAAGCACACAAATAACATGTTTTACAAGCAGAACTATACCTGCGATGGCCCTCAACTACTTTGGCCATATTTCCATCATACGTGGGGACAAAAATATCGCTCTCTACTGAGACAAGATAATCCAATGCCGCCATCTGCGATGAATGATTTTGGAAGAACTGAAGGTCAGATGGCTCCAACAGTGTTTCCTTCCTGACCTGTTTCAACAGAGCGCAAAGGCAAATGGTAAGAAGGACATTAAACAATAACAAACATCACAACTACCATGCCGCCTTGAGCTTTAAAGTTTACCAATTTTGGGTAGTCTTTCGCAAGACTTGCCATTCTCCTTTCCCCACCATATATTTCCCCAGCTGCAATGTATATTTGAATGTTCCGATCAATGTCAAGAGCCCTAAGAGTAAGGGCGGTCTCCTCAGGTGTTAAAGGACATAAACCATCTTTTCTTTTCAAATCAGAATTAATTATTTTTTCTTTCCACCAAGGATAAGCATATCTGCCAATGCACAGAAAATTGAAATTTGAGAGATATTAATATCAAATATCTTTTCAACGTCCAGAGTGATTGAAAAATAAATAAATTATGGAACAGCTGAACTATTTAGGTTAATAATCACCTCATTCTTGTCAACTCTTCCAACTCATCACTGTTGCAACCCTGAGTACAGCCAGAAAATGCTAACATGTCCATCTCATATCTAAGATGAAGGACCAGAAATGGACCATTTTTACTTAGAAGCTTGATGACCTTTCTGCCCAACTCCTCTATCTGAGAAGTAAATCTCAGAGCACTAAAATTAACTCGGCATCGCAGCTTCTGAAGCTCGAGAGGTTGACCGTTATTGGCCAGCCGCGCATCAGTTCGATTTAAATGGACAACTTTGTACTTTTGAATCAAGGGTAGAATCTATAACAATAAAAATGTCATTTGCTTTATATTTAGAGAAAATGGAAACAACATAATCGAGTTACAGAGCACGAAAGTTACAATCAAAAGCTAAGCTGACAGTTGTTTAGAATAAAGCATGCTCAAACTCCCAAACTATTTGGCTAAAGGATACTACAAACTGACCTGGTTCTTATAGTAAGATATGTCAGACCAACTAATGGGCGGCATACTGTAAAGTAACCCACGTTCCACTTTCAGCTTGAGTCTAGGCGGCAACTCTTTCAGTATCCGAACCTCATCTCTCAAGGAGGTAATAAAATGATCCACATCAAATATGTCTTGGAATTCACTACATAATAGTATTAAACATTCGTTGAGATAAGATCCTCATTCAAAAATAAGGAGTAGAAATCCTTCAAACCTAACAACATTGATAAAGGATGTTGTTAAAAAAAACACCGCTATGAAATAAAAGAGTCACCTGGGATCAGCCCAAAAGGATGCTTTATCCAGTTCCGGGACTATAAGCGTGACATTCAAATATCTTGCAATGGCAACCATGTCACATATCTGTAAAAATTATTTTAGAGAATCAGAAAAGCAAATGGAACAAATACAAGATAGCTTAGTTGCACATACACGTTAACCACTTACCGCAGCTCTCATTTGATTCAGTCCTCCATTGCACGAGACCATAAGGTATCCATTGTTTTTATAAACTCCTGGCAATTAAAAAAGGTCTTCGATAAGGTAACAACCAAAGAAAAAAAGAAAATAAAAAAAAAAGGGCAACACGAACACGAAGAAAATCAAATAAGTGAAGATTGGAAACAAATAAAGAAGAGAAAATACTAACTCTTGGGAGGGAGAAGTGGAGGACGTGGAGAAGGAAACTCCATACCCAATGCCTTGACAGCAGAATCATGAGTAAAACAAGAAGGCCAACCTTTCAAAACTCTAGGCCCCCACATGTCACCCAAAGCTGTTAACTGAACGATGCAAGTCCACACCAAAACCGATGAGGTAGCACGTATCATCCACATCTTCATTCTAGACCTCGATGACCCGGACCCGGACCCTGACCCGGACACACCCATTCCCACTTTTTGAACCTTACTCTTCAAACCCATCCAACCAAAATCTTGCCCCTTGTTATTGCTCTCCGCCCTGCACATCTCACCCCAATGCCTTCATACCCCACACTCTCTTCTCTCAATGCTAAAGAAATACCAAACCCTAATTGTTTATTTCAATCAAAGAAACCCCCCGCCCCTTTTTCTCCGCCGGAAATCTCCAAGATCCGAGCTCCAAACAAACCACCACTCAGGAAACTATTATCCGCCAATGCCAGCAGATAATACCCCAAAGATTTCGAGTTCAAGAAGGATCAACGAACTTCAATTCTCAGGCGCATTACCTCTCTCTCTCTCTCTCTCAAGGGACAGGCCTCGCAACTTCTTCAGCAGAGAAGCACTGCGCTTATCCAAATCGAAACCGCGCACTCAAACACAAACACACAGAACAATAAGATCTTCTAATTTGGGGAAACGACACCTTGAAGGCGAAATTCAAATATGGCTCCGGCGAACGGATTCGGTCGCCGGCGACTGATGTGGAATGATCGCCGGAGTGTGGCGGCCAGCGAGTTACAGAGCGCGAGTACAATTATTATAGGCGCTGTGAGTAAGAGAGAGAGAGAGAAGAGAATAAAACGCAAACACAAAGACATTCGAAGTTGACCTCTACGCGCTCAGCTCGCACACAAGAAAGCAAGAAACGGCGTGCTAACCCAACCATGGTTAAGCCGATGTCGCGCCAACGCTCCTAATTCCTTACTCATAAATACAAAATATAAAATTTGATATATTAAACAAATACTTGTTACTTTTGTTAAATAATTAAAAATACTAAATAAAAGATATTAGATACCAAATTTCGTTGTTTATTATACTTTTGGGTCCAGAGAATTATTTTGTCACGTGGTCATTCAACTTGAGTTAGAAACGTGGCAGCTTGTGATTGTCGGCTTTAGAAAGTCTCATTCGAAGCGGTAGGTGATTTGCGTCTCCGGCTATTTAATCGTCCCACTGCGCCGACATTATATCGCGGGATTTTCAGCCGAATTCTACACGAGTCAGTTTGCTTATTTTGTTAACTCATGGCTTACTGAATAATAATTGTATTAATGACTTGGAATTTAATAAATAGACGGAATCATTAATTGAGTTATTAATATATATATATATATATATATATAGATTAATAACTCAAATGTTGTTGATGTTTTTTGCAATAGCATTTTTATATATACTATTTGATTAAAAGAAAAAAATGAATTATTGTTTATGAGTTTAATGACTCGTTTCTATGAATCTCGGATATATATAGAGATAAGGTTATGAGCTAAAATATCATATTAGGTCAAAATGTTATTTCGATGATGGAGATGAAAGGAATATAAGGAAAATTACTAAGAAATGAATTTTTAAATTTAAAAACTTAATGTATAGAAAATTTGTTTAAGTATTAAGAATTATACAGATTAAATAAATTAATAATAACTTATTATTATTTTCTATTAAATAATTATACAAAATTTTAATATCCGATATGATATTTTGTACTAAATATTGATGATTCGGCTTACCAAATATATATATATACTCCCAATAAATGATAATTATTGATTGACGAAAATTAACGATTAGAATTTGATGTCAAATTTTAAAGTTTGATACCAGTATCAAAGGATTATATCCCTATATATATATCATAAAAATATTTTTACAGTAAATGCAGATAAGTTATTTGTATTTACTTTCAAAATGACATCGTTTTAGAATGGAAAGATTAGAAAATTATAATTATAAAGATTATAATAACCCTGAAATAAATTAAAATTACAAAAATATCATAATTTTTGCTTAAGACCATGTCGTATTGGACCTACTGCATATAACTTATCTGCAGTAAGCGAATCCTATATATATTGAATGATTCGATATTAACTGCAGTGAATCTCTAGTATGAAGTAAACTGCAATAAATCTCTTTAAATTACAGGGCCATACATACGAAACTTCAGTAAACTGCATGTAAAATCTCTGACAACCCCTCACCCACACACACACAAAATAGGCGACACAGTGAATAATAATAAAAAAGAAAATGCAGGAGCAGAGCGTTTGAGATTGGGAGTTACATTTCCTCTATTTAATTTGCTTCCACAAAATAAGAAAGAAATAATGTACCGAGAAATCGGTTGAAAAGTAGGGTACGGTATATTGGCGATAAGATAGCTTAGAAAGAATAAATGAGTGAAGACTAATTGGTATCGTCCACACAGACAACTCTCCTAACCTAACCTAAGCCTATCTTTCTCGCCGTTGAGCCTCCGTCAGAGTGTCGGTTCCGCCGCTAAGACGTAGCCGACTTGTCAATTTAAAACGGTGCATTAATTTGGGCCATCTGATGGTGATTTCGGGCCAGGTGTCAGTATCCTAACTCATCTTCGGATCCTGCTGAGGTCCCACACACCCCATCACGGTTGTTGATAAGCGCACAATCAAGGCGACAAATTTTTTTTTTTCGTTTTTTTATCCATTTTTTTTTATGTATAAAGTAAATTTATTTCATATAATATAAGAAATAATATTCCTTTTTTTTCTCTAAAATCTCATTTAATATTGTACTCAAAAAATATTTTTATTTTAGTAAATCCAAAAAATATTATTTTAAAATTACTGTTTGATGAACTTGTTTAAAACAGACAATACATTTAAAATTGAAAACAAATATATATATATATATAACTAATTTAAAAAAAATCAAATTTAACATTAGGGAATAATGAAAAAAAAAATGAAATATGTCGTCTTTCAAAAAAATAGTATAATAAAAATTTAATTCCTTTAAATTATTTTCTATTTTGGTAAATGATAATGGGCTAGACTAATCTATTAACATATTTTTTGATAAATCGCTAGACTAATCTATTATTAATTTAGATTTTATTCTAGACATTTTCTACTTGAAAAAAAATACAAATCGGGACATGTTTAAGTAAAATAAACAAGTTGACAACACATATAATATTATTTTTTCGCAAAAATTAAATAGACGAACTAAATATTAGGAACCAAAACAAACTGTCTTTCACTTTTATTCATTAATATTTTGACAAGACTTGCAGTACTCAACCTTGTTATAACCTTGTTGCATTGCTGTTCTCACGTCGTTCGAGTATGTCATATTCATATTAAGGGGTGAATTGGATTCGAATTTTAAAGTATTTTAATGAATTATTTTCGGACACAAAATTAATTGGTATTTAATTAGTATTTTAAGGATTGAAAAAAATACGTAATATTCGATTAGGATTTTAAAAAATTATTTTAGAGTTCGTCCAAATCCGTTTGTATTCAATTAGGATTTTAAACAAAGAAAAAAGTAATCTTGTAGTATTAAAAATCTAACGATTTTAATAGATTTTTTATTGGTGTAGATTTCGTGAGACATTAATTTTTTTTTCTCTCTTCAAAAATTGTAATAGAAAATAAAATTATATATGCTGTGAAAAAATAACTCACAACCCGCATGGTCATTAAAGGAGTGATTTATATATTTTCGTTAATCCGTAGGATTTTTTGATATTTCTTTATTTCAGAGTTTTTTTCTTCTTTTGGTGGGTTAACTTGCTGGAAATCGGATTCCGCTATGGAAGCTTCATCAAAGCTCAAAAATAGCATATTTTTGAGCAATTTTTATCACAAAACAACAACCAACAATTCATTTGAACAATTTTTAAGAGTTTTTAGATGTTTAAAAAATGATTTTTCATACAATTGATCGCAATTTTTCTTGGCAGAAAAATATGTACTTTTTGTATTAAAAATAACATAAGACAGTGGAAAAACAACAAAGGAAAAAAACTCTCAAACCATTTTTCGTTTTAAATCAATGGAACAATATCGATTTAAAGAAATATTGAAACTTTTATAATATGAACCTTATGTTTAATAACAAGACATTTATGAATGAAACTCCTCCGTTATAGGAAACGATTTCAAATAATTTATTTGTCAATAGATTACTAAAAACTTATTTTTCAAAAACTCCAAAGAAATTTAAATTTGAATGTATCGATTGAAAATAATTTGAGATAATTTTTAAACTTTCATGTAATAAAACTCATAAATTCATATTCAAAATTTTCTTGGAATACACAATGAAAACATGCATATGATATATGGTTAGAAAACTCTCATCACGTAGAACAAAAACCCCCAAGGTTTAAAGATCAATTGCAAAAATTTCAAACAAAATTTTATCATAAATTTTACTGATTGAGAAAATTATATTAGGTTTTACTTTTTTTTATTAATATCATTGCATTTCTTTGTTATTTTTTTTATTGACTCTTATAATTTTAAAAATTCATATAATTTTTTAAAATCTTATAAATTCATATTTTTCTTTCAAATCTTATAAATTCTATTAAAATCCTTTAAAATTCAATCTTATGTAATCTTGATTGTAAAAATTATCTTTTAAAAAAGTTTTTACAGTCCCTCTAATTCAAAATAGTATTTTAAAATCTATTAGATTTTTTATCTCAAAAAAAATCTTTTAAAATCCTATCCAATACATCCCCTTAATTTTCTTTTTCAGTAAAGTACATTTTGGATACTTAATAAATATATGAAGCCAATTTAATTTTTTTTAAATAATTTGTGATCATTCTTAAATTTAAAATAGACCCATATTAATCTTTTTAAGAAACTAACGTGGATCTTCTTTAAATTTTAAAGGAACCACAATTTTGACTAGTTGAAATTATTTTAAATTTCATATTTTTTTCTAAAAAATTAAAATGAGTTTTATAATTTTTATTGAGAATCCAAAATATACTTTACTCTTTCCTTTTTGTTGGTGAAATTTTTTATTTTGGTAAAGACTCGCGTCTTTGATTTATACGCACTCTTTAATTTATTTGAATTATCTATACCCTTTACACTGAATATTGGCATAGTTTTCTATAGCATTTTGCTATTACATATGTTATTTATATATATTTTTTATGTGCACTCCTTATATATTTATTTTGTTAAACTATAAATAATTTCAATCAAACTTAATTGAACCACATCACTCATAAATTATGCATTATGTAATATAAAAAAAAAATGTTTAAAATGGTTAGATAGACAGGTGTATATTAAATAAAAGTGCAAGAAGAATTAATTTTAACTATTCATGTAAGATTAAATGGTTAAAATTGGTTTCAACATGCTTTATCTGTGTGTATGTAAATTGAAAAAATCATTTTCAATTCCAGGTAAAATATCACGAACTACTCTGTTTGCGATATTACACATCCAATTCCAAAGGCTGACTCTAGAGGATGATAGATGGTGTTGTGCTACCTGTATAATTTCTTGAACAGGAATCATTCATTAATGATTCAATAAATCAGGATTTTGATGTATTGCTGAATATAATGTATTGTCAAATCTTTGTGCAGTTAGTAACTGCATATGAATTATATGATTAACAAATCTTTGATGTGTGCGATGGTGTAGAAGAACTGATTATATTTGTGTGGATATGTAATATTAATTGGTTGAGTGCTGACGGGGTGAGCACTAATGGTATAGGTGACGAGTCACATACAGACCAATGCGAACTTCTCATCCAAAGAAGTAGAAAATTATGTAACCAAAAAAATGTAGAAAATTCAATGTATAGAATAATTAGCAATTAATCGGGGGTAAGTTATACTCATAAAAGTTATACAGGTAAGTTATCTGCAGAAATTTATTCCTAACTAAGTCTATTTTCAAAAATATATAATGAAGTTTGTAAATAAATTTTTTATAAATATAACATTTTCTATTAATTAGATCAGACTTGCCTAGCGAAAGAGAATATATATATAGAGAGAGGTCGGATTATTTGACACCTCATCTGAGAGCCATTAGATCAAAAAAGATCAATGGTGTCACATGTTTACAAATCAGAGTCGTTGATCTTTTTTGATCTAATGGCTCTCAGATGAGGTGTCAAATTTTAAATTTGACACTAGTGTCAAATGATCCTACCTCATATATATATATATAATAACACCAAACTATAAAAAAAAGGTGAAAAATGTAATTTGAGAGTGTGTATGATAACTTTTTCGGAATAATTTTTTTTTAATTTTTATTTTTGGAAACAGAAATGGATAGAGAATTCGTTTGGTAAAATGAGTGTATTTTTTTTGTTCTCGAGATGAACAAGTTTAATTTTTGTAATGGGGAACGGGAAAAAGAATCAATTTTTTTTTTGTTCCCCAGCACAAAATGAGAAATACGTGTCTCTCTCAATCACTCTTCACCATTACCATCACCACCACCACCATCTCAGCCACTGTCGTCACCACCACTATCATCACCATGTTGCCGCCACCACCATCACCACGACACCACCACTACCACTACTGTCACCAGCCACCACTATCATTGCCGCAACTACTGTCGTCAGTCACCACCACCACTATGCTATCGCCACCGCCACCAACCACCACCACCATCGTTGCAGACACTGCCGTCACCACCACCGTCATGCCACCACTACCACTACCGCCACCGTCACCACCACCATTACTGTCATCACCACCACCACCACTGTCATCACCATGCCACTGCCACCCCCATCACTACACCACCATATCATATGAAAATGAAAGTGACGATCCGGAAAACTTTTATGCTTAATAAGAATTATTTTTTATTATACTATCTATTGTGTTATCAAACACAATTCTCATTCTCAGAATAAAAATAGAACATATTATCAAACACATTTTTTTTTTAGAAACTGTTCTAAGGTACGAAAATATAAAAGAATTATTTCTTTTCAAAAACAGTACCAGGAAACATAATGGTTTTCATGCAAAACCTTATACTTTGAGTAGGGGTTCAATGTATCATAAAATCAAATCTAAAATAACAAAATACAAACACATTGTCATAATCTTAAGGTCTTTTTTATTTCTTCTTTATCTGACACATGAACATAAAATATGTAATAATTGTAGATACAATGTATGCTTTGATGATTACAAAGTGGCAACAACAAAAAGAGAAGAGTATTAATCAAGAGCAAAAAACATCAATCATATGTTGATATTGAAGATGTATGATGTAGCCACATAAGAAGAAAAATATCATACCAAAGTGGCAAGATCATTGAACCAAGAGCAACAAGGAATAATTAGAAGAGCAACACCAAGATCAAAGACAACAAACCATGGACAACATCTAAGAGAAGCTCAATATCATAACCATGGTGAAAAATGATCAAAACCAACAAGTGTCAAGCATTGACATATCCAACAAGTCAAAATATCAAGCTCAAGTAAAGATCCAAGACACAAGACATGGAGCAAAGTCTAAAATCATATTTAGAATATATGTGAGGGTATATGGTAGATTGCATTGCATGAGCTCAAAGTTTTTCTCAAAGTAAACGTGTTTTTCAAATTGAATAATCATAACCTTTATATACTTGAAAGAAATTTGAAAAACCCATGGAAAAGATCCTTGACATATTTTATAACTTCAAAACATATTTATCAAGTCGAGATTTTTCACAAAAAGTGGTTGGAAGCATTTGAACATAAAATTTGTTGCATAATTTTGCTGCTTCCTTCCATACAATTCTTCATATCCAAGATGATGGATTTGGATCTTGTGTTCTTCATAGAAGTTGTATATCTATCTTTTATCTTTCCAACAAGACCAAGATCACACCAATTTGATAAGAATAGCTCGAGTTATGCGTAAAATACAAAACAATGTTATTGCTGTCAAATTTTCAGCCTTCCAATAGGTTGGGAATCGATTCCCTACACATAGGAATCGATTCCCCAACTAGGAAATCGATTACCTCCATGTTGGAATCGATTCGCTCTTACTCGAAAGGTTGGGAATCGATTACCTAAGTATAGGAATCGATTCCAACTGCGACAGAAAGCCTATAACGGCTATAAACAGCTAATTTTGCTAAAAATCACTATAAATACATTCCTTATGACCCTAAAACATTAAGATCATTATTCCTACACATCTTAAAGATGATTTGAGAGCTTCCACGCTATCATTTGCATATTCTTTCATATATTTCAAAGATCAAACATATTTGAGCTCATATCTTGAAAATTCATATACTCATAGTGTTTCAAGTTGTATATCCACACTTTAAGAGTGTATATTCATTTCCAAATATTTCCCTCCTAGTATTCTTGAGTTGAAAAGGTTGTGAGACCCATTTTTTGAGAGGGAGCCAAATACCTAAGTAAATTTGGAGTGAATTGTAAGGTTGTCAAGTATCCATAAACTTGGAGATTGTAAGGTATCCAAGAACCCGAAGTCTTGGAAGATTGTAAAGGTTTGCCAAGCACCCGTGAAGCTTGACCATTAGTGAAAGAGTTGATCGAGCGACTTCAGTCTGGACGTAGGTCACAAGTGGTGGTGACCGAACCGGGATATATTGTGTTTGCAATTCTCTAAACTCTAAACTCTTTATTTCTAGCACTTTAATTTCTTCTTTGATATCTTGTATGTGCTAGAATAAGTTCTATAATTGTGATATAATATATATTATGGATTGTTTGAATGTATTGATTTGCTTTCCATATATCAAAATTTGTTTGAAATTATTGTTTAGACACTAGAAGAAGACTTTTGTGAAAATCTTGTAATACTCAATTTACAAAAGTGTATACTCAATTTCCATACCCTCTTGAGTATGGAAGCAACATTCCTAAAATAATGCATTCAGAAATGAGCTATGTAGGATGAGTAACAATGTATATACTAGGGCTCTTTGACCAGTTTGGGGTTTTTCCCTTTTAAATGTACTAATTTGGTATCTAATTGAAAGATATTACCGTTTAGGGTCTTTGAGTGTCGTGGAGGGGACCTATCGACTCTAAATGATGCCCCCAAATCCCCACAGCACTCATGTAATTTTTTTTTCCGAACCCAGTGTCGCCCGTGCCCCCCACTGCACTCAATAAATTATTTATTTTTTATTTTTTAAATGTCGTTCAGCCCCCCATACGACACTAATTTAATTTTTTTTAACCCCCAATTATTTAGTGAATCTCCGTTTTGATTCACTTCTGCATTGAATCCTCATTTTAATAAAAAAATAGTGGAAAGCATCCTCATTTTGATTCACTAATGGTTCTTTATAACAAAAAAAGAAAAAGAAACAAACGGAGAACTAAAAACCTAGATCTTCCATATTCAAATCTCTTTCTTCCTTATTCCTCTTGCGTCGTTAGTGGATACCAGGTATATGGTGATGTTAACACAATAACAATAATGTAAGATTGAGATAACCCAACGGGGAAATTTCTCAATGCCATCAAATACTAGTCGTCTGATTTTGAGGATGTTGTAGTTAGGAAGAGCTATTGTGGGCAGCGGTGTGGTTGCACAAGAGGCATCAGTACATAGAATACATTGTGAGGAAACAAGGTGGTGTTGAGAGATGGGAACACCATTAATGAGTTTGGCTGGGATAATAAGCTTGCTGGGATTCATATTCTGTATTTGAGAAAAGAGTAATTGTTTTTTCCAACTAAGTCGGGTGGGGTATTTTGCACAAGGGAGAAATGTTGTTTTCCCACCAAGTCGGGTGGGGTATTCTGCACAAGGGAGAATTTTTTTTTTCCAACCAAGTGTGGGGTCTTCTGCATTTGACAAGGGAGAAAAAAAAATTCCAGCCAAGTGGGTCGAGGTCTTCTACATTTGACAAGGTAAATTTTTGCACCTTGTTCTCATATTTTCTTTGGCATGCTTTCCAATTGGGCTTTCTATTATTCATGAAACTTGGATCAAAATCATGCATTTCGACGTGAAGGCCTAACGTGGTAAGTACTTTTTATATCAAAATCTAACCAATATATTGTTCCAATCGGTTGTGTAACTTGTGTTAGTGAATCAAAATGGTAAGTACTTTTGGTTTGAGTAATTAGTCATGATAAACGTTAAAAATTCAAATAAATTCAAATACAAAGAAACATGGTGATATTTGTTTATTAAAAATTTCACTTTTGAAAAATACTCATATAAAAATACTCATATAATTAGATAATAATATTTATAATATTATATAATTAGATGATTTGTGATTAATACTTAGGATTTATTTTAATTAGTGAATAGTTGTTATAATATTTTAAATTAATTTATTTGTCTTATCCTAACATTGACTTGTGTTGTGTAATTAATTATATGTAGATATTTTACATAATGCCTACTGTTTAATGAGTAGTTTTTAATTAGTTAAGGCATATGAAGATTCATCCAAGAGACGTTTTTATCCCGGTCCTCGCAACAATTTAATATTATTCATGTAATCTAGACACCGATCAGAGGTTGTCTGGATGGAAGAACAGGATTATAAATCATTGACTGTCAGAAGTGGACGACTGGCGGGGTTAGATGTTATTTCAGAGCCTATTGTACCTTATTTACGTCGTGCCGATTTTCTTGGCGCTGCTAGGATGGGCCATATGGAGGTATTTTATATGTTACATATGTTAAATTATAAAAAAAATCATCAAACAAAATAATTTTTTTGTTTTGATTATAATTTTATAGTTTGCAGATTGATAGTGTATTAGTCACAACTCTAGTTAAGCGATGGATACCAGAGACCTATGCATTTCATATGCTTCCGGGAGAGGTTACTATGACACTCGAGGATGTTGCAATGATCACAGGTCTTTCTACGGACGGTGAACCTGTTACTGGCATGTCTGAAACACGAGAGTTAAGAACTTTGGTACGACAACTGCTTGGGAGGACCCCGAGTGCATCTAATTTTAAGGGTGGTACTCTTAAGACTTCATGGTTGGATGGAAATTTTGCAAATATTGAGGAATAGTTGGAGGATAAGAGAATCTTCTTCGATTCACGCGAGCATAGACATTACGCCTTATCAAATGCTTTTTACTTGGGATCACAATGGTGATAAGGTGCACATCTGATATCTACCTTTTCTTAATGACTTGGAGGCGTGTGGACGATTTATGAGAGGGTTATTTTTTTGCTTACCTCCACAAAAGCAGTGTGATAATTCTTCATACAATAACATTTGATTGCCTTATGTACCGCTTCCTTACTTTCAAATTATTGATTAACATATAATTCATCCTCCATTTGCCAAGCATTTCCCCCCATCAATAATTTATTTTTGATTTAGGTGTTCCCAATTAATGTAGGTCTAGTACGGACTAGCATTCCAGAATGGAGTATTAGATTAACCTACACATACTAACAATCTATCACATTCAAGTAACACATGAATATAACATGTAAAATACAATAATCAGAAGGTTAAATAACTAACCAGTCGGGACGACATTTTCGACATTATTGGTGTCCACGTCACAATCAGAGTCACTACACTCAAGAGGAACTTCTTCATTTACATCTTCATCAGAGTCACTACCCTCAACAAGAACTTCTTCATATACATCTTCATCAAAGGTACCCAAATCAACATCCATGTAAGCTGCACAATCTTCCTCTTCCACAGCTGTATTCTTCCAGCAGTGTGATAGAGCATCAGAATGTGGCAAATTTAGATCCAATGACTCAACCGACAATGAAGAATTGCCTGCACAAGCAATGTTGGCATACAACTCAAGCATAGTCATTGCAGACTGTTGTAGAAACAGATTGAACATCATATCAACAACATCATCATCAGCAATTTCTAGCACCGCGAATTTTTCTATTGTACGATATCAGCCGGTTAATCGAGACACCGATTGAGTGGGACCGAGCTTTAATTTCTCTGCAATCTTTGATTTTAAATAATGCAATCCCACCCCGCATTATATTTGTATTCCTTTGGTTTGCCCCTCAAATGTCCATCCTAATATATGATTGCATAAATTGATCCCATATCTAGAAGAAAACAGTAAAAATTTAGACAATAAGATGTTTTACGAAAATTAGAAATGGGATAAACCAAATAAATTATTCTAAATCACATTATTAAAATACTCACTACATATCAATGACTAATTATTATGTCAAATATCTAAATATAATTAATTACACATGAACATAAAAATATATTTTATTATGTAAAATCTCTATATATTAACTATACATGCCTATGTTAGGATAACACAAAAGAATTAATTTAAAATTATAACAACTATTACTAGTTAAAAGAAACCCTAAATATTAATAACAAATTAAATATTCTAAATTACATTATTAAAATACTAAATACTACTCATCAATGACTAATTATTATGTGAATTATGTAAATATAATTAATTACACATGAACATAAAAAATTAATTATTATGTAAAATCTCTATATATTATTATTTATACATGCCCATGTTATTAGGATAACACAAAAGAATTAATTTAAAAAATTATAACAACTATTTCTAATTAAAAGAAACCCTAAATATTAATAAAAAATTAATTATTCTAGACTACATTATTAAAATACTAAACACTACTCACCAATGACTAATTATTATGTCAAATATGTAAATATAATTAATTGAACATAAAAAATTAATTATTATGTAAAATCTCTATATATTATTAACTATACATGCCTATGTTAATAGGATAACACAAAAGAATTAATTTAAAAAATATAATAACTATTTCTAATTAAAAGAAATCCTAAATATTTACAAATTAATTATTCTAAATTATATTATTAAAATATTAAACACTACTTATCAATGACTAATTATTATGACAACTATATAAATATAATTAATTGCACATGCTTGTGTTAGTAGAAAAACTAGTGTATTCTAAACATTATGTCAAATATCTAAAATAATTTAAAAAAATTAAATAATTTTAATTAATTAGTAAAAAGGAAATGATGTGTTAACTTGCCTTAGTGTATTATATAGAGTTGCTCTGTTTTGGAAGAGCTTCACTTTGCTGCAACTGTATGCTTCAAATAGAAAAAAAAAAGCAAAGGAGAAGAGAATGCTGCAAATGGAAAAACACGAAGATAGAAGGATGAAACGGATCTGAAATTTTGCTACAACAATAAATAAAGATGAGAATGAAAGAGACAAACACGGAGATAACAAACAAAGAATTATCATGGGACGACTGGGGTTGTGCCACTTGGCATGCTGTCCGAGTTAAGGTGACAGACGACACTCAAAAAATAAAAAAAAGTTTAAATAGGTGTTGGAGGAAATAAATAAAAAATTTAATTAGTGCCATTGGGGGGAGGGGCGGCACTGGGTTCAAAAATAAAACACTTACATAAGTGCCGCAAAGTTCTGAGTAGGGGTGTAAATATGTTAGACTTTGACTTAAATAGGCCAGGTCTATGTGAAAAACATTGGGTCTGACCTGAACTGTTAACCTGTGTAGGTCTCAAATTACAAGTCTGGTATGACCTATATTTAAAAAATAAAAGCCTTGGCCTATGCCTGTTTAAGCTTATTAAATATTCAATAATTAAAAGAATAACTAAAATAATATTACCTTATTATTGAAAATTATTAAAATAATATTTTAATTTAAAATAAATAATATGACATAAGCCGGCCTGTAGACTTATAGGCTCGACATGCACAAAAAAGCCTATGGCTTGTTTTCTAAATAGATTTTTTTAAAAGTGTAGGTCTGTTCTATTTTACTATTTATAATCGGTCAAGTCTAACCTAATATAAGTTAGGTCATAAATTCCTGTAGACCAACATAACTTATTTACACCCTGAGAACGTCATTTAGAGTCGCGGGCTCCCCACGCGACGCTCAAAGATCTCAAATAATAATATCTCTTAATGATACCAAATTAGTTTAATGGAAAACCCCCCTCAATAGGCTATATACTAGGACTCAACAAACGGTACTTTTGCAACTGTTTAACTCACAAGTGAAAGCGTTAAAAACTTAGAATGATCCTCGAACAAAAGTATTTTTTTTTTTTTTTTTGACAATTCTGTAGTTGAAGTAGCTCTTATTGCCAAAAAAAGAAAAGTTGTACGTTCTTTCTTAATTAATTCGTTTGGTCTATTTAATTTCCCGCACCCCCTTTCCTTGTGTTTAATATTCATCACGATTTGCAGCTTTATTCTATGGACAACTCAAAACTAGGCATTACAGAAAACTAATTATTAATGTGCCTGTCATTTTCATGACAAAGTACCAATATTATATCACAAAATCAATTTTTTTAATTAACACCTCATTACAGCTCTTACCATACCAAACTTGAAGACTTCAATCACTTCATTGCATGAAAATGGCCAATCTGGGTACCTTCTTTTATGTCTTAGCACAAATAACAAACTACTTTCAAAGATTGCCAACGATGTTAATCGTGTAATTTGGTATTTCTTTTCTTTTATTTTCTTTTCAAATAAAAATAACTCGCATCTAAGATTTGACAAAGTGGAATCTAATGCTCGGAGAAAATTCCTAATATCGCGTTTACGGATTCTAACTTTAGAAATAAATAAAAAATAAAAATCTGGCATTATATTGGAATTTGGTGACTGATCATATGTATTATTTTTAATTTTTCCAAGAACAATATTATTTAGAATAAAATAATTAATATAAGTGACAGATATATTCTATTATAAATAATAGTTATTATATTTTTTTTTATTAAAATAAATATTTTTAAAAAATCATTTTTTTAAAATAATGGATATTTATTATATAAAAATTTTGGAAATAAATAAGATAAGGATATCGAATCTGGTCTTTTCTTCTTTGCTTTCTTTTAGCCGATTTTTTTTTTATCAAATCAATGAAAAATAAAGTCATTCATGCATTTTTTTTTTGTAAATAAGTCATTGATACTTTATTATTGTGGTTAACTACCAACAGATATTATCACGTCTATTTGTTTAAAAATAATAATTTTAAAAATTTAATTGTGAATAATAAAATTCTATATTTAAGTGAAAAGATTTATAGACTCATTTATCTAATTATTTAAAAATTTTAAAAAAATAGTTTAGAGCATATTTAATCAATTTGTTATATAAAATCAAATTGTGACTTGTACATTTTTTAGGTAACAAGTCACTTCTTAACTATCAAATATCATTTGACTATACGATAAACACTTAATCAAATTGTGACATCGGAACTGAGGTTGTAAGTCCCGAAAATTCATAGAAACCCCGAGTAGACCTATTGTCGTAATTCTGTTCCAAAGCATACAAATTATGCCGGATTAGCATACAAACTTTATATGAGATAATTATCTCATGCATTAGATACAAATTGGATATGAGATTTATTTTAAATTTTCTCTTTCTTCTTTATTCTCTCTCATCTCTCTTCGATGTATGTGTGTAAGAGATTGTTTTTCGTTCAAAAGAATCTCCAAACTTTATTGGTTAAATGGTTGAAAAGTCTATTCCAGTCGTGAAATCTTTTAATTTGCTATGTCGTTTTTCTCTTTAAAGATGCCAGCTTCATGGCTCGGATGTATCAACTATAGATTTAAATTTTTTAAGATGCTAGAGTGCCATTTTTCTTGCGTAGCATAAACACTGACAGAGCAAATAACTTTAGTGAGAGCCCCATTCTAATTGCTACTACCTTTATTTGTATCCAATAATATATGGAAATGGATATTCTAATGTGAGAAAAAACATGATATGGTCATGTGAGAAGATCACAACCATACAAAAATAAATCAACGATTATGATTTTGTAACTACCTATTTTAATATATTTTCTTTCTCCTCTTTTATTACCATTGATCTACTTTTTTATGGTTATGATTTCCCACATGACATGATAATGTGATTTTTTACATTAGAGGATTCAGATCCCAGTTGTGAGCTTTGCCACTCTTTGATTATGTTCAATTGAACTAAACTAATCAAATAATCGATCAACGGGGGAGAAATACAAAAAATAAATGCATATTTTTTTGAACTCTAACATTTTTCTCAAATTTTGGGATCAATTACTAAGAATATTATTCTTACACGTTTAGTTTCTGTTTTGGGGTACGCTTTTATATATTTTGTTAGTCTATCTCTTTAAAATATGAGATAGATTAATCTACTTATCATTTTTTCTGTCTATTTTTTTTATCATTCTCCAATATCATTAGATCAGAATTTCAATAAGAGAGAGAAATAATAAATGTAGTTAAAATTCTGATCTAACAGTATTGGAGAATAGTAGACAAAATAGACAGAAAAAATAGTAGATAGAATAATATATCCCTTAAAATATATTAAGTGTCATTTTCTAATATTATTTTTGTTAGCCACTTTTAATCTTGTCTTTTATTTTCTGATGTAAAATAATTAAATTTATGTTTTTCATCACAAATGACGTGTTTTTAATCTCCAATATCCTTCATAATGGAATAAAAAATTGTGCTTGCATATTAATGACCTCCTCTGTTTTAAAATGAAAAAAGAAAAACTATCCATGGAATTAAAGGGAAAAAAACTCACCAGTCATACTTTAATAATATATGGCTGCTTTGTTAATAAGTTCACAAGAAACTAACCAAAATATACTATTGAAAGAAAAATATAAAATAACAGAAGATTTATCCGCCTCTTGTGGTTGATACCGTCCCATTAACTTTATGGGTTTTATAGCTCTTCTATCGTTGCAAAAACAAATTTTTAGAGCAATATTAGGATACGGTTTAGTATTCTAACATATATTTAAAAAAAAAAAAACAAGTGAAATCCACTTACTTATATCCGTTGCATCCAATAAAATTTTGCAACGACAACATAAATGCAAAGCCCTAACTTTATTCTACAATTTGGCCTCCCCATTTTTTTAATCAATATATATAGTAAGTTATACTTAATATTTTTTTTACAATCACTTTATTTTATGGTTGAATCAAAATTAAAGTAACAATTCTTACTTAATATTATTTTATTGCCATTGATTTAATTTTAATTTAGTTATAACAAAAATAGTTGGAAAGAAGAAGCGATTATAATATAACCATATTTATATTAATATATTCTGTAATTGACGTAACGATTAGAGTTTATACTAATTAATTACAGTTTTCTAACTCGTGGAGTTGACTTGACTTGAACATTTCCTACCAATCATTTTTCCAACTTCGATGGATAGCGTAACGCAGACTCACAAAACCAATTTTTTTTGTTTTTTTTATTAACTCAACTCTAAGTCTCTAATTATCTCTTTAAGCAAGTTGGCTCATCACTTATTTCCTTAAATTTTAACTATTTGAGTTGATGAAATTAATCCGGAATATAGGATGTGTAGAGTATAAAAATATTTAAATTTCTCTAAAAAAAAATATGTGGGATCAAACTGAGTTTTTTTTACTTTTCACTTACTCATGTCTCCGTTGTTATCAAATGAGGTACCATTATTTGTTATTTGACACAAGATAGTAAATTGCCATTCAAATCAAATAATGTACGAATGTGTACCAAAATAAAAATAAAAATAATATACGAACTTGAAGAACTAATTAACATATGGAATTCGTCAATTCGATCTGGTATCTGTGATTGAACATTTCAATTAAGCCTTTATGAGTAAGACTATTTCAAAGTCTTCTCCTAATTTGGGTCTACGGATGCGCAGAATAATACAATTAGTAGAATTTGTACAAAAAAAAATAGTAATATCAGAAGACCTCTTTGGGCAGGTAGTTTCTAAAATCAACTTCGGAATAGCTTATGCATCAGCAAAATGACATATGCAGTATGAAAATATATAGATTTGGAATTGTGATGCCTTTAGGTTGGAATCAGTTGTAACCCTTTTTTTAATACAACAAATATTTTTGGATAATTCCTTTCTTTCTTTAATTTTTTAAGTAAAGGGTGGACTTTGGTTATTAACTTTTACACATTAAAAATAATTTTCCTAGTTAAATTAATGGACATATTTCTTAAAAGAAAAAAAATGGAGTGGACAATTATTTAAGCAAGCTAACTAGCTAAGCTTTACATAACATGTAAAAGTTCTTTAACATATAAGGAAGTTCCTCGCATGTTTGCCTTGGGAACAAAAAAGAAATAGTTGTTAGTAAGTTATGATTGGATGGAAATTGATGACATTGAACGGCAATACTCTTCAGGAAAACAAAAATAAGCCAATATTTCTGACTTTCTTTTGATTCTTATTTCGTTAAGTTTACTTTTGTTCCCGGTGTCATCTTCTGGTTTCACACTTACATGGAACATGATAGAATAATAAATAAAAGAAAAGTAGATAACACAACGAGAAGGTCATGAACGTATAAATTATGGGAATGCCCCATGACTGTTTCTAAAAAAATAAAAATAAAAATAGCATATGCTTAATTGGGTTAATGGAAAATGACTCTTTGCCAACGATTTCATCTTATCCTGCTACAATAAAACGTTCTTCCCGTCTCTCCTTTGAAGGAAAAAAGCAGATGCAAGATAAAGTTACCCGAAAAAAGTAGCAGCATCAGTTATTTGGCTATAAGTAGAGGTGGTCACATGACTCCAACTTATACATAACCCAGCTGGAGAGTTATACAGCTATATTTCTAAAAGAAAAAGAGAGAGATATACAGCTATAATTTAATAAAAACATTTAAAAAAAAAAAAAGTAAAAGTACCAGCAGAATATTCCAAATTATCATAATACATAAGCAGCCATTCAATATCTGTCAGTTTCAGTTGGCTTTTGACATTTAGCAAAAACAAATGGAAAAAAAAGAAAAGAAAGAAAGAAGAAAACTGATATGGTACTATTGCAAAAGCCTCCAAAATGAAAAAAACAAACGCACATAAGAACAAAACTATTTGTAAATGAAACTGTTACACGAGGGTTATAATCATCAAATAAGAAATCTTGCTAATGATTAAATTGGGACCCTGACGGGAGAAAGAGGTCATGTACATTTTATTCAACTTAAGGCCTACTTTATGGGGCACACCAATGACTATAGACATGTGCATGTTTGTTTTGTCACAAAATCAAGTTTGCCGTGGCAAATCTCACGTTTTATAGTAGTTAGGTTGTGTTTGTTTTACATTTTGAGTTACTAAAATTAAGGGTCATAGAAGTATTATGTCACATGACCCTAGCTAATTTTCCTACAAACAAAAGTGAAGAGAGAGAAAATGATAGAAAAAAAGAGAAAAGAAAAATAGTGGATCCCACGTTTGCATTGTTTGTGCAGGAAAATAGTTTTGGGTTCCTGTTACATGATATTTATATTACCCTAAAATTAATTTTGCTGTAAGTAGAATTAATTTTAAAAGAAGTGAACTTTTATGTCAAGTAGGATTGACGTTAGGGTATGGGATTCATAAAGTTTTTAAGAACATGCCCATATTTACATTTTAAAAGTGATTCTATTTTACTATCCAAACAAAATTAAGTCTTTTAAACTCACTTTAGAAATATCATTCCCGAATAAAAATTACTTTTTTTTAACATTTCAAGTCTTTTATAATCAATTTTACCAAAATTTAAATAAAACATAATCAATTCACATAAAAACGCAATCATTAAAAGCTTTTCTGTGGTTCAGAAAACCTGACGAGGAAAGGTTACAATAGACACGCCAAATACAGATGCAAACAAAACACTAAATTTGCAAAATGGAGCAAAAATAATAATCTCAAAACACATGACCGAAAATTGAATAAAGACATGGTTCTCATAGTGGGGGTGGGGGGATTTTAACTTTATTTTATATTTTCTTGTGGGTTAAAAGCAATGTTTTCCAATTGGATCGCACTAAGGTTTGTTAGCACTTAGCAGAGTCATATTGAAATTATAGCCCATCAAAATATAAAAATGGCAGCTTCCACAGAAAAAGACACTGAAACAGCAATATCAGGATCAATCAAACGTTTCTCAGTCTGGTTTGTAAAAAGAAACACACTCAACTTGTGGTTCTAGACAACAAAACATATCATCTGATTTTCCTAAGTATCACTCACACCCATCATTAAGTGCATATGAGAATTGCTACATTTGAAGTTTTGAATGGCTACCTTCATTAGCCAATTATCAAATCATGGAATGAGAAGCGAATGATGCCGCTTATAGAAGGGTATCTCAATTTCGTTTTCAGACTATGATGAATGCCCAAAATCTTCCCAAAAGGCCTGAATTGCATGTCACTGCTGCCATGTGATTCTTCAATTTTATTACTTTTATTATTTTCCCCTGGATTCCCAGCTACACGAATAGGACCGCAATATACATAGCAGGGATAACTGATTTAAGCACCAAGCAGTATCTCTATGTTTTTTCTTTTTCCTTTGGGTACATTTAATATGTATTTTTATATACAAAGAAAAGAAACCTATATTTAAAAAACTTAACAAAATTAGTCACCAAATAAATTAACTTTCTTTATAATCACAAACCCAACCTTCATCCCTAAACATGGGGAACTATTAACACATGAAGTAAAGGGGCAGGAAAGTGTTGAAAGAATAAATGTAGGCACCATGGAACAGCTCAGCCACCATCTGAATCACATCAATAAATTAAGCTTCATTTCATCATGAATATTCTCAGGCATGTTGCAACCACTTCTTTAATGTCGGACAATAATTGCAAGCAACATCTATGATTTCCCTTTCTCATCATCCTGCACATCCAAGCAAGTTTTGAAATGAATTAGTAAATATGAATGCCACTCAATTTCAATGAATGATTAAAAATAGAACTTCAGACCACAATTAAGTTCCAATTGGACCAAATAAATCTTCTATTATGGGGGAGAAGGGAGTGAGAATTGGATCAGTAGGCATTTACTGCTACGGTCAATCATAAGTCAATACGTCCCCTACTTCAGCAATAGTAAGTAAGCACCTGTCATTTCTAAATTCCAACACAGGTGAATACTAATGTCCTTACCTTACAACAAACCCTTGGATTATGGCCATGCAAAAGTATGCAGATTACAAAAACCAGAAACTGGCATGACGGGTAGTTGCCAAATAATTAGATTTAATGGCAACCTCAGGTTTAAATAATAGATAGGTGATCAAGAGCTTACTAAAATGTCACCTAAAAGCATTTCAAATCGTAATTTTTTTGTCAGGCCTAGACAAGCATTGTCTAGGATAACACTTACTAAAAGGAATAATAATAAAGTAAGAAATATAAAAAAGTAAGATAGAAAAATAAGACTGTAAGTAGTACAAAGTATATCATGCTTACCGAACTATCCACCAGTTTGTCCAAATGGTCATCAAAGCCCCCATCACCATCATCTGAAATACCAGAGAGGTTGTTGGAAAAATATATTAAAAAGAAGAAGAAGGACAAACCATGATGCTCAAGATTCCCCGATTTGCGAGGGCGGGGTGAAGGTTGGCAAAATATACAAACTCGTCAAAATTTAAATTCAACCACGAAGAAATGAACAACTCAGCACATATTACTCTATACTAAAATTATATATACTAACTATCATTGGTTATACCAGTATATTCTCCAACTCTGAAAAACACAGCAGTCTAGAGTAACAAACAGGCAAACATGAAGAAAATGGCAGTCCATCAAATTGGATTAACTTTAGTTATGTCAATAAAAATAGGCACAATGATTGAGAAAGTTGGAATTTAAACTAGACTACTGCACAAACAAGTTTGTTTGGATGAGGGGAAATGGGGGGTAGAAGGGGATAACATGAAAATGAAATATTCCCCTTGTTTGGGAGTTCAAAATTTATGAAGGGGAAGGACATGTTAGGGTAACCACTCCCCCTCAACTCTCATTTTTTGTTCCCCTCCAAGCTGGGGTGTAATGAGGGTAAAGAACTTTGCTTTTATTTTAAAAACTTGCCATTTACTATTTTAACTCACAAGTTTAGTTACTTAAACAATTTTAATAAGGGCTATATTGGAACTTTACACTTATATTTTACCTTTCCCTTTCTTCCCTCGTTAATCAACTAAACATGGGGAATGCAAAATAATTTGGTTCCATCCCTTCCCTTCCCTTTCTATTCCATTCTATCTCATTCTCTCTAAAACTTCCATGTTCCAAATGCAGCTTAAAGCAGAAGCCTTCTATGATCCAAAAGACAAGTTGCATGGCATGATTCTATCTATTTTCCCTATTATATGGTTAATCTTCTTTTGATTATTCTGGGACTTCAAAATATTTTTATATCAATTATAAATGGAGATGTACCAAACTCATATACACAACACACCAGTGTATTTTTCAGAAAAAAGAAAAAGAAAAGATTTTAATAGATAAAATTAATGAGGTGCACCTGGGTCATCATCACTGTCTCCCGTACCTCCCAGAAGAAATACATCCAAGTCTTGTTCAGTTGATGAAGCTGAAGTTTTGGTCTCTTTTTTCACTTCTTGCACCTCTTGATTAGAGGTCGATTCAACTTTTAATGGTTCCATTTCCACCACTTTGTGATCTTGTACTTGTTCAGATGATTTTAGTTTAGCATCTTCCATGTATCGATTCTCATAGCTATCAAAAATCATAAGATAAAACAGTTTACAAAGAGTCACAAAACAGTGTAACTGTAACCTAAGGTGAAAGCGCAGCAGAATGAGGGAATTTCTAGAAATACCTTGCATAACGTGATCTTTTTCCATGAGTATATTGATTTTTTAAAGGAGTGGACCAATACGCTGCTAAGTTTATTGTTATTAATAATTTACGCACATCAAACTAAATTGTTGGATTATGCTGTACAAAACAGTTGTTATTTTCAACAACTCAACCAGCATAGGTAGATAATAGCATTCAGCTATATGAGCTCTCAATTAATAATCCAACTTATATTTTTGAAAATTTTACATGCTCGTATTGCCTTAGCCAGAAGTTTCTTCAATCATTTATTGTGGGTATTTTTGTTGGGAAATTCGTTCCCTCAAACTCCAATGTCAAGCGGGTCCAGGGGAAGCCCGTGGCGGGGGCCACCACCAATGAGCTAAGGCTACACCAACCGTAGCAAGTGGATCCGACACCATGTCTCAACCCAAAACCTTAAGGCTTTGGGTTCATGGGTCCTTTCACTTATATACTCTTCACTTAACTCATTACCAACCAATGTGGGACTCATCACACTTGAATATCTCAACAATCTCCCCCTCAAGTGTGAAACCCACCATTGGTATGCTCCCCCTACACCGAGTACCTGAAGCGCAAAGTACTCAACCCGCCTCCTAGCTAATCACTAGGCTAGCTCGAGCCCAATCCGACTCTGATACCATTGTTAGGAAATTTGTTCCCTTTTGCAAATTCAGAACGATGTTGTTTGCTAACAACACATTCTTCACATACTAAGGAATGAGGAATTGTGATTTGAGGGAGGCCTGTCACCATATTTTTCTGTTGGAGCGTCTTCAACCCACCAAAGCTCAAATGGCCATAGCGAAAATGCCACAACCATGAAGGATCTTTCATTTCAGCCATTAAACTAGATTGGATTCCTTCAATCTTTAATGGAAACAATTTGTTTGAACTCATCTGAATAACAGCAATAGCACCTCTAACAGAATCATATATTTCACAAACACCATTTTTAATAGTGATCACATAACCCTTTTCTTGTAATTGGCCAGCACTCAATAAATTACTTTTCAAATCAGGAACATACAATACATTAGATATTGTTTCCACAAAACCATTCTTGGTTTTTATTTTAATGTCACATTTTCCCATTACTTTCACAGTAGAATGATCACCAAAACTCACAGTAGATTGAAAATTTTCATTCAGATGAGAGAAAGAAGACTTACTACCACTCATGTGGTTGCTACAGCCAGTATCCACATACCAAACATCTGGCTCAATTTGCTTTTCATCTTTAGCAACCATCAATAAGGTTTCACCTTCCTCCTTTTCTGCAAAGTTTGAACTTTCTCCTTTTTCTTTGCTATTTGGCAGCTTAGTATAACATTCAGATTGATAATGACCAAATTTATGACACCTGAAACATTCTACCTTGGATTTATCAGGGGCTCCTCCTCTGCCTCTGCCTTGAAATTGATCATTATTGGCTCTGAAATTAGTGGACCTTCCTCTGCCTCTGCCTCTGCCTCTACCTCTGCCTCTACCCCTTCCTTGAAAATTGTTGGAACGAGTATCGGTAGAAGCCTTTAATGCTTGCTCATCTGTGTCTTCCTGTTTGAACTTCTGTTCATGCACCACCAATGAGCTCTGCAATTCATCAAGTGACAAATCATCTATATCTTTAGATTCTTCTATAGCACAAACAACAAAGTCAAATTTTGCTGTTAATGATCGAAGAATTTTTTCTATACAGTTATTTCTTCTGTCCTGCCTCCATGAATTCGCATTTTATTGACAATGGTCATCACGCGAGAGAAATAATCTGCAATTGATTCTCCCGACTTCATTCGAAGTGTTTCGAATTCCGAGAGTAAAGCTTGAAGCTGCTGCCTCTTTGCTCTTGCAGAGCCTTGATACTTCTTTTTCATGGAGTCCCAAATATCCTTGGAAGTTTCTTTGGAAAGAATGGTTTCCAAGATAGAACGGTCAATGGCCTGGAAGAGATAATTCTTCGCCTTCAAATCCTTCAACTTTACTGCTTCATGAGCTGCTCGTTGTGCTGCTGTCAACTGAGCTCCTTCTGCTAGTGCTGGTTCAACAACACCATTGGTAACTACATCCCAATATTCCTTGGATCGAAGGAAATTCTCCATCAACATGCTCCAATGATCATAATGACCATCGAAACGTGGAATGGCTGCTTGCACAAAATTAGAATCTGTGGCCATGACTCTTCACTTTTTTTTTTCACAACTCAATTCCCTCACGTGTTTAACTCTCAACCTGGCTCTTGATACCACTGATAGAGAAAAATTAAGATGCAGAAATATAACTCACAATGTTTGAAGAGGGAATACAAATTTCATAAACTGTCTCAAACTTAATATAAACCAGAAACTAAAACTGAAAAACATAACATTAAGAGACACATTACACCCAAATAAACTCTAACTTAATGACTCATTATACTACCCAAAACTGACCCATTATGATACCGTTAAGACTCATCAAACAACTTTAGTGCAGCACATGGCCGTTACATCAAACTTAAAAGACCATTGAATTTTCTAACGGACAAAAAACAAAGAGACTCTAACATTCCCTCCCTTAAACTGATGTTCTTGAAAAATTCAGTTTACTCCAAATCCTTTGACTTTCTCCATGGAACATATGCCAAGTAATCCCCTGAGCTTTTGAAACGCAACATATTTGAGAGGCTTCGTAAACAAATCAGCAACTTGATCCTCACTTCTACAAAAAATAAGATCAATTATACCAGCCTTTGTAAGATCCCTTAAGAAATGATACTTCACATCTATATGCTTGCTTCTCCCATGTAAAATTGGATTCTTTGACAATTTAATTGCAGAATTATTGTCACAATAAATTAAAGTTGCTCCTTCTTGCTTGAAGTGAAGTTCTTCAAGAATTCTCCTTAGCCAAATGGCTTGGCATGCACAAGCTGTAGCAGCAACAAATTCAGCTTCTGTGCTTGACAAAGTGACAATTGGTTGCTTCTTTGATGCCCAAGAAATAGCACCTGTACCAATCATAAAAACATAACCTGATGTGCTCTTCCTGTCATCTTGATCTCCTGCATAATCACTGTCAGTAAATCCCACTAAATCAGATTTTACACCCTTCTTGTAAAATATCCCGAAAGTTCTTGTTCCTTGCAAGTAGCGAAGGATTCTCTTGGCAGCAAACAAATGTATTTCTGTAGGATTTTCCATATACCTGCTAATTAAACTCACAGAATTCATTATGTCTGGTCTTGTTGCAGTGAGATACATCAAACTTCCCACAATTTTTTTTGTAGAAGGTGCTGTCAACCTTCTTTCCTCCATGATCTTTATGTAACTTCAAGCCACATTCAACTAGAGTGTGCACAGGATTACAATCCTTCATCTGAAACCTGTCTAGAATATCTTCCACATATTTATTTTGAGAAATAAAAATTCCATCACTTGATTGTGCTACACTTATGCCAAGAAAGTAATGCATCATACCAAGATCAGTCATTTCAAACTCATTCATCATAGACTTCTTAAATTCTTCAAACATAACATCACAATTTCCAGTGAATATAAGATCATCTACATATAAGCAAACAATAAGCATTTTTCCTTCATCACCAATCTTAACAAAGAGTGTATGTTCATAAGGACACTTTATAAAACCAGCCTTAAGAAAATAAGACTCAATGCGACTATACCAAGCTCGAGGGGCTTGTTTTAGTCCATAAAGTGCCTTTTTCAATTTGTAAACTTTATGCTCATTTCCAACTTTCTCATAACCAGGGGGTTGTTCAATAAATATTTGTTCCTCTAAGTACCCATGCAAGAATGCCGATTTGACATCTAGCTGGTAAATAGGCCAAGAATTTTGTGCAGCCAATGCAACCACCAACCCAAATGATTGGAACGAGGGAGCCCAAAACCCTTTGCAAAGGGTACCATCCACCAATGGGCCAAATGACGAACCATAATAAGTGGGCCGACACCACATCTCAACCCAAAACCTTAAGGTTGTAAGTTTATGGGTCTTTTGCACTTATATGGTCATCACTTGGTCTAGGTCTAGTCTATGTGGTACTTCTTTATAACTCATACTTGATTTGATCTATGTCTAGTGTATGTGGTACTTCTTTATAACTCATACTTGATTATTTCCAACATCCTCCCTCAAGTGTGAGGCCCAATATCATTCTTACCCTAAGGGCAACTTCTGCGGAAATCTTTTTTTTTTTCTCTTTCAAATATTAGGGTCACACTAGCCTTCTGCAGAGGCCTTCCAAACACCTGGCCCAGATTGTTGGCTCTGATACCACTGTTAGGAAATTCGTTCCCTCAAACTCCAATGTCAAGCGGGTCCAGGGGAAGCCCGTGGCGGGGGCCACCACCAATGAGCTAAGGCTACACCAACCGTAGCAAGTGGATCCGACACCATGTCTCAACCCAAAACCTTAAGGCTTTGGGTTCATGGGTCCTTTCACTTATATACTCTTCACTTAACTCATTACCAACCAATGTGGGACTCATCACACTTGAATATCTCAACAATTTTCATATCTCAAGGATAAGATTGAGCATGACTCTTTTACATAATTGGGGAACCATGCGGAAAATATATTCATTCCTATACTCTAAATTAGAAGTAATCATTGTTAAATGCCTACAATAACTGATGTTTACTATTAAAGAAAGAGCATATTATATATATATATATATCTGGAAAAAAAGACTATCATTTAAAAGGACATAAGTTGTGTCCTTTTAGACGATTTACGCAAAGTATGACCAGTCATATTTTGTGTAAATCTAAAAAGCTTCTTTTTTTTTCTCTCTTCTCAGTCACATCGCTGACGTATAAAGTGAAAAAAAAGCAACTTTTCAGAATTACACAGAGTATGACCGGTCATACTCTGTGTAAGTCACTAAAAGGACACAACTTGTATCCTTTTGAATGACACACACTAAACCCTATATATATATATATATATATATATATATATATATATATATCTTTACGTTTCGTATGGGGCCCAACGTTACCAAACTCCTTTGGCATAGGTGGTAAAGAACCTGGGCCACTTAATCAGAGATCTCAAGTTCAAGCCCTGGGAATAAAAAAAAAAGATTTGGGAGAGCCAAAACCCGAAGGGTCCAACATTTCTCGATGGAAGTCTTTAGTTATGATTAGAGGATATCCTTGAGATTACTCGAGGGGGGGGGGGGGGGGGGGGGTTTTAAGTAACAGGATATCCTTCAAAGAATACATGACTATATAATTTGCTCGGACTATAAAGACCAAATATTCTGACATCAAATTGGTTCAGGTCATACAAAAGTCTAAGAAAAAAATTTAATTTGAAAACCAAAATACCCAAGCAACAGTAAATTACTTACGGTGCAATATGACTATTCACAAGTATAAAATATATTCTCCAAAACCTCCTCTCTTTCATGACACGTGGACACAGCTCATACCTCAATCTTGAAATCTCCTGCAAGAATAAACTGAATGGTCAGAATACATTATGTTTCAAATATGTAATTATATGCCAAAAAAAGTAATCAATGTATAAGACAAAATAACATGTATACAGAAACCAACCCATACAACTAGGTGACAGAATTTAGTTTATTTATCCTAGATTAACACAAAAACATGCAGTGTCTTTGGACCCTTGATTTGCTGCAACAAACTTGGATATCAGAATACTACATATCTCATGATTCTACCATGGTAGCATGTCACCAGTCATCGTGAGTGGATCTGACAAGGTGACATTCACAGAAGTATGAAAAGGAACAATGACAATCATAACTCAGCTTGCTGCAATCCAAGGTTGCTGAGCCTTACACACCCTTGTTGTGTCTCCCTCTCTCTCTTTCTCACACACACACACACACACACAAAACCTCCTTGAACAGCAAAGGCCGATAGTAATTAAGACACATAAATAAATCACATCAAAAATTCAGACACACCCATCACTCCATGACGCTATTCCCCAAACATCAGCTCCTATTTACCAAGTATCCTGGCTTAGCAATTCATCTACTCTACTTTCAGTATAAGTTAATAAATATGTGGCAATTCCCATTCCAGTGGTTAAGGATACATAAAATTGTATCAATCGTTTGTAACTACTTGTTGGTAAGCAAACAAAGTTAAACCAGAAAGAGTTTTTTTCCCCAATTGATTGGAAGGATGTGAACGTAAAACTTGTCCAATAACTAAAAAAATAAATAAAAAGATGCTACCTTGACTGTAGAAAGAACAAGACTGGCATGTTTTTCCTGCCACTGGGTTAGATCCTGCCTAACATTTGAAACTGCAGGAACATCAGACAATTGTGTATCATCTGCAAATGGGAACCAAAATTGAGATAAGCCTCTCAGTTCTCACATGATGAATAACAAAAGGAAGCACAGACAGAATAATGCAGCAATTAAACTTCGTAGCAAGTACTCAACTTGGTTGAGTAAGGGGAAGGTAGGAGGATGGAAATTCTGGAGTGAAAATCATTGTCCTCTAATTTTCACTCTCACTTTTCCTCCAACTTAATCAAGCAAAAGTGTTTTCCTTTTGCTCATAGACACTCTCTCTCTCCATGTATATACATACACGGGTCAGTATTTCTTAATAATTGATTTCCGTAAATCTAAGCGTTATAATTTATTCGATCATACTTATTAATCAATTAATAATAAATCTATGCCACTTTTATATATATATATATATATATATATATAGAGGCAGGATCATTTTACACCAGTGTAAGAATACTAAGTTTTACACCAAATCTTAACCATTGATTTTCTGCATCTAACGGTTCAAACTTATTAGGTCTCACTCATTAATTAATTTTTAATTCCCAATAAAGTTTAACCGTTAGATGCACAGAAATCAACGGTTAAGATTTGGTGTAAGATTTATTATTCTTACACCGGTGTAAGTTGATCTTATCCCATATATATATATATATATATATATATATATATATATATATATTTATATATATATTCGTTTTTTCTGTGATCAATATAAATAAATTATCTACATTATACATACATGAGTTAAGATGACAACAATATCAAACTAAAAAATTTGACAATAAATCTTAATCATTGATTTCATAAATTTAAGGGTTATAATTTAATGGTTCATATTTATTAAATTAATTATTAAATAAAGTATTTTTGGGTCCTAAAAAAAAATCACGGAAATCCTTTTAATCTCTTATAAAAAAATCATACTTCTAGAATTTAAAATAGACTCAATTACTCGAAATCATGATTCTTCTAAATTTTGAAGAAAACACACATTAGCTAAATTAACATCAATCTATTTTGAATTTTAGAACGAACACAAGTTATTTTTTATAAGGGATTAAATTATATCCCAAGGACCCAAAAGTTAATTATTAATTTCAAAGAAATTATCAAATTAACGAAAATCAACTATTAATATTTGATGTCAAATTTTTAATTTGACATGGGTATCCAAAGCAAAACAACCATCGTTGCACCTAACCTTAATCCTTAAAAAAAAATAAAAATGAAAAGGAACCTTGAAGAGGGAAATCCGTAAAGGTAGTGATGGTGATCCCTTTGACGAACTCCCTCAAGTGGTCGGTGATGCCAAAGCTCTCTAGATGGAGATGGAGATCCTTATCCTTATCCTTATCCTTGTTCAAAGAAGGTTCGGCCAAGTGCTTGGAAGCTTGCGCCGCGATCTCCTTGGTCGTCTCTGCTATTATATCGCCGAATTTGGAAGCTCCCAAGGACAGGTCTTGGGATCGCTTCGCTGTTTCTTCCGCAAAGCTTCGAGCTTTGTTCCACAGCTGCATTCTTAGGCTCACTCCCTCTTCTTCTTCTTCTTCTTCTTCTTCGATGATTACCAGGTTTTATTTATTTATTTTGGAACACGAATGATTAGAAGTTAAAACAAGGTAACTAAGGGTGATTTTCGTGTCATTGGGTAACGGAATGGAAGACGAAGCGTAGGGTGCCACGTACTTCGGTTGACCACTCTCTTCAGTCATTTTTTATTTTTCATATATTTTTTTTTGTATGCAATAATAATTGGAATAATGTTCGTCGTTTAAAATGAGACGATATAATTTTGTATTATTTTTAATAAAATTATGTTATTTTAGTATGTTTTTACATTCTTTCTCTTTCTTTTTTACTGATTTTATAAAAAAAGAAAATTAAAAAAAAAACGAAAATGATGAAATTTTATTTTAAATAATATAAAGTTGTGTCATTTGTAATAACATATATTTTTTCATAATAATAAAAAAATTGAAAAAAAAAGCTTCATTGGGTTATGTTTTTTAAGTGCTTTGTTTAGGATCTGAGGTTTTAAAGTAGGGAAATATAAGAATTATGATTCCTGCAACAAGGATTCGGTAACGTATTTTGAGATACGGCGCTGTATCTTGATTTTAGTTTGAATTTTTTTTTTAAGCGTGAGACTCACACTTAATTTATGTGTACAAAAAAATGATCTTGTCATGTGACATGACAAAAAGCGAAATCTTTAAAAAATTTGTGTTCTGTACAATGATAGTCGTAAGTATGAATTCCGATACATAATGGTGGCAAAATAATGTTTATAGATTTTCTAAAGAAAGGTTACATGGACTCTGAAGTCTGATCGCGGGGTGTCTCAAATAGTTTTTGTTCAGCAGACATGCAACGGAACAGTGAGAATAAGAACCCAAAATCATTATAGTAATCCAATGAAATGAATATGACGAGGCCTGAGTTACATTTCCGCAATACAATTTGCAAGTGTAGAAGGGTCGTGAAACCGTTAAAGCACAGTGAATGGAAGTAGTTTCAGTTAGGGACTTAGGGTTGTACATGGTTTTTGAAGAACTAAATCTAATTGATTTAAATCAATTTGGTTCAAAGAACCAAATTATTATTTTTTATCCCAAACTAGTTCGGTTCGATTTGGTTCGGATCAAATTTATTCTAAAATAAAGAAATAAAATAAAAGCTACTAAATAAATAAATAAATATATAAGAAAAAAAATAGAAGAGAAAAAAAGAAAAAAATAATTCGATTCTTAAAAATCAATTCGATTCTTGAACTAGTTCTCACTGAATTGTTCTTGAAATCAATTCGGTTCATGAATTAATTATTTAAAAACTATTTATTTTAAATGCAGTTTAGTTAAATTTTTTAATTCTTTTGCACACCTTTAAATTATGTACCGGTGGTTCATGTTCTACAATCAGCCCTCAATTTTGTACCGAAATGGAATTTATAAGTTCTACTTTGAGTAATTTTTTATTATGTTCCGTACTATCGTGATTCTTTTATTTAAAAATTGATATTTAGATTAATTTTTTTTTTCTCTCTCTTCTCTCTCCTCAGTCCCACTTAATTTTTGTTTTCTCTCGAGCCACAGTAACTTCACTCCTACTTCGGATGCATTAAATGACCATTCATAAAACATAAAAACATTAATAAAACAGTAACGATGAGTGTAAGTTATACTGGGAGATGCTAGTGTTGGTAAGTATGCTGCTTTGTTAATTAAGGAACACACATAAAGAGTATGAGATATACTAAAAATTTAAAACTTGACTTTCATAATTTTAAAAATATGATGCGTAAGACTTCTAAAATTTTCAATCTCTTTTTTAAATAATTAAATTTTTTTGTAAAGTAATTGAAAAATTAAGCGTTCACCTAATAAGAAACAGTATCTAAATTTTTTTTATCACAATATTCATTGTTTTATTAATATATGAACCAAAACTGATATGATAAGTGCATAACATTGTGCTTGAATTTTTTTATTTTAAAAAAAGTATGATAAATAATGTGGTTTGCCACTCTACTCTACCGAGCAAGCGCCATTTCAGCAATACTGCGGATCCCCGAATGCTTCCCACGCGCTTTTGCACGCCACGCTCGCGTTTGCCGCTAGTCATCACCTTCAGCTCCGTTTGGTTCTGCCTCGAGGCTCCACCATCATGGGGAGGTTGTAACTGCCTGCGCATTCTACGGTGGACGGTTATAACCTCTGGTAGAGGCAATGCTGTGTGTACTCCTATGAAGCACCGATACGGCGTTTTTGACACGTTTTTGATGATACAGGATGTCGATTACCAAACAATAAGTGTCCGATACGCGTATCCGATACGTTGGAAAAAAAATTTAAGGAGTATGAGTGCTTCATAGGTGTACTCAACTGTGCAAAACGAATTATTTGCTTCGTTTAACAATGCCGATCACTTTCAGGTTTCTGATTTACTTACTACAAGAAATTCATTCGATTAGATAAAGGGATAGGAATGCATCATCCTCTATTACTGATCTGAAAGTTCTTCGGGAAGAATTTGAGTTTTTTCCACCCCCACACCCTGATGTATGTGCTCAATTCCTTGTAGTTGTGATATGCTCCAGAATGTCCTATACATTCTAGATTTTTTTCAATTCAACGGCTTCATTACATTGTATTAGAACTTGTTTAAGCTTTTGGATTGAAATGCTTCTGTGTTTTGTTCAGGAATATCAACTCACTCTTCAGGTATGCTATATCCTTTATCCTCAGTTTTTATCTTGATTATACACTATCCATTTTTACTCTCTCATAGAGCCTAAGATTATGACCAAGTTATTAAATCTGAACTTTGAATCAAAACAATGTATGCATTATTAGATGCTTTGTAGGAAAATCAAACATTGTTGTTGACTAATTTGCCACCGGGTAAGGTTCCGATTTGTTGCAAATAGGTGTATAAGAGTATAAGGAAGATGAGAGCATTGAACGTTACAAATCCAGATTCATGGTTAAAGTGAAGGTTATACTCAAAACAGAGTTTAGACTACTTTAACACTTTTCACCAATTGCTCAGTTACAGCTGCACAAAATGGGCATCTCCATCAATTAGATGTTTGCATAAACATATTGACAAGGAAGTATGCATATGGAGCTCCCTAAAGGTGTTGTTCCTTTTCAACCCCATCAAATGTGCAGACTTGCTAAATTACTTTATGGGTTGAAATAAGATAGCAGGCAATGGTTTGAACCAAGTTGTCTGCCCCTTTGATCTCTCAAAGATATGTTCAAGCTGAAGCTGATCACTCCCCATTCACCAATCACAATGTTGCTTCCATCACTGCTCTAGTGTTATATGTGAACAATTTGATTTTTGCAGGTGATAATCTAGTTGAAATTAATATTGTTAAACAGTATCTTGACCATACGTTGCAAATTAAAGACTTAGGAGTCCTTTATTGGTTTGGAGATAGCCCAAGAAAATATGGTCTTATATCTTGTCAGATGTTGGTTTGCTATTTATTTGCCAAGCCACTCTTCCACTAGTCCCGTGGTTAAAACTACTAAATTGCCAAGAACCATAACTTAATTCTCTAATATTGGTGCCTATCGTAGGCTAATTGACATGCTGTTACACTTGAACACTACCAGGCCAGAACATAGTTTTGCTGTCTAGCATGTGGGCCAATTAATGATATATGTTTGCTAAAAGCTCTTCTTGCTTGCATTTGGTCGCGGTTGAGCATAATCTCGTTTCATTGGTGAATTTAAAACAATTATAGTAATGTAGCTAAAATAATTCTTAAAAAAAGTCCATTTGGATTCCTTTTTTTTTTTTTTTAAAGCAGAAGTCACAAAAAAATTAATTTTTTTTTTTAAAAAGCTAAAAAATGTAGCTTTTAAAAAAACTAGATGTCAAAAATCAATTTTTTAAAAAAAAAATCTAAATAAATTTAACTTTTATAAAAAATACTTTAAAATAAATAAGAGATTGAAATCACTTTTTGTTTAAAACCCATCCAAACAGGCTAAACATGTGTGCGTGAGATTAACTTGACAGTTTACACTTGAGAAAAAAGGGGTTGTTGGGCTGCATCGGAAAGTCATTAAAAATGTAAAAATCATACTTAACTATTGAAATTATTAATTTTGTTTAAATGTCATCTTAAAGTAAAAAAATTGATTATTTTGAATAAAAATAATTTATTTATTTTTTAATTTTGATCATAAAATTATTTGAAATTGTTTTTTAAATATAATTATATAAATAAATAGAGTAAACAAATATCAACCAATTAATTTGAATAGTCTGGAATGTATCAAAAAAAAGAAAACAAATTGAATACTCTGGGACTTACATAAGACCAAACGAAACTAACAAAGTATTAATTTGAATACTTAATCTAATTTGGCCCAATATATCCACATTAAAATTGGTCCCTATGAATACTGGTTTGATGTGGATTGGTCCGAATGAAAATGAAAAATGGGCTTGAGAAGTTCCGAAAAGCATATCAATCATTAGATTTAGATCTTAATAATAAGTACTGTCCCAATTTAACTCATGCTATGTAGGCTGTAGCAGCCAACGGCCGAAACTCTCCGGTCAGAATTTTTCTACTTTCAAGAACATAAGAAATTTTCATGATATATTTATAATTTTAATTTATTTCAGGATTATTATAGTTTTTATAATTATAATTTTTTAATATTTTAATCTCAAAACGATGTCATTTTGTGAGTAAATACAGATAACTTATCTACAGTAACTGCAAAAATATTTTTTTGTTGCAGGGAGCATAAACGCATATATGAACAACGATATTGAATACATAAATAGCACAAATTCTAAAAATTATAAAGATGCAACTAACTTAGATACAACTTATATTTAATAACAATATAATACTAACACAAATTAAAAATAAAAATAAAATAAAGACAACAATATTTTATAAATTTACATGGATTATTTTAAATACAATAAAATATTATTATTTATTCAATTTCTATTTATACGATATTTATATGGGTAAAAAATGTATAAAAACAGTTATATATATGAGGTTTACATTTCTACAGCTGTTGTACGTGCAACAATCAAATACTTGTCA